GGCGTACGACAGGCGCAAAAATGTCATCGTAGTCAACGCCTTCGCGTTGCAGAAACCTTTGATAACTAGGCGTGCTTTGCACGTGCCGTTGGGCTTGATACAGAAGACCCATCGGCAGTAGGACTGTCATGGTCTTTAGGCGTGGAACAAAATCGTAGGTCTTGTTGTCGTGAAGGGACTGGAATTCATCTTGGGCGGCGGCTCGCCATTTGTCACGATCGGAACGGCGCATGGCTTCCTGCCAGTTTTTAGGATCAGAGGAATCGGAGGGTAGGCGGACGCTGAGCAAGGCGTAGAGGTGCCATGGCGGATAAAGGGGTGGATCGAGGGGTTGGGTAGGCACCGAGAGAGGCGGGAAAGGGTAGGGATAAGGCGGTGGTGGAAGAGTAGCAAGATCATCGATGGATATGTCAACAAAGGGTAGATGAGAGGCGGATAGGCAAAACGGAGTGGCTGGTAGTGTAGGCGTTGGAGTGGTGCGGCTGTGATGTTGGGCAAGTAGGGTGGTAGGCGGATGGAAAAGTGGACTGCGATATGGTAGATGGAGTTCGTCAAAGGCGGCAGAGAGTAAATCTGGGGCGGAGACAATTGGTCGGTGGTAGGCGGCGGTGTAGATGTTGAAGGAAGTGGAGGAAAAATGGTTGGATCGAGGCGAGTAGAGAGAGGCGGCAGAGGTTTTATGAGGTGTAATGGATGGAATGTCGGATGCATCACGGGCGCGAAGGCGAAATGCTGCCGCAGCGAGGGGCGGATGCCGGGAGAAAACTCGATGGTAAGGCGACTTACCGTCATTCGGGGTGGAAGGCGAGATGTTGTAGAGCCAGGCGGAGTAGATAACGGCTTCGGCCCACAGAAACTTAGGGATATTGCCGGCCAGTAGAAGCGCTCGCATCGTCATGACGAGTAGGCCAATGCGGCGTTCGGCCACGGCGTTTTGAGCAGGCGAGTAGGCGTTTGAAAATGTGGTCTTGGTAGTGTACTTCGGTCCGATGATGCGACCAAGTTTCTCGAATTCCTTGGCATTGTCGGCTTGTAGAATGCCGATGTCAGTAGGCGGAAAGTATTGGAGAGTGTTGATGTCGGACTTGAAAGTTGTGATAGATTGGAGGCGAAAGAGTTCGTAGGCGTCATAGAGATCCTTGCGGAAGGCGAGAGGATATACCCAGGTGAAACGGGAGCAGTCGTCGATAAACACGACGAAGTAGAAGCTGCCACCAAATCGATGGCACTGGGCACGGGCCCCAACTGTCGGTGTGGACGCGAAGGAGGAAGGATAGGCGCGGAAAACGGTTGCGGAGGAAAACTGTTGTCGACGGGACTTGGCGAATTCGCAAGTATCGAAGGTGAAGGATTTAAATAGGCGGGGGCGATCGGTGGAGAAGTCGGGGTGGGTCTTGACGAGGTTTTGGAGAACGGTGGAGCTTGGGTGTCCTAGGCGGATGTGCCAAACACGGAAGAGGGCTCTGTTAGATAGGCGTGTGTTTGAGGTGGTTGCAGTAGCTAGTGCAGGAGAAGGCGTCGTAAATGTTGAAGTTATAGGGGGAGGCGGAGATAGAAGGGGTTGGTTGGTATATGGAGAGATGGGAGCGGACTGGGTTGGGGTGACAACGTTAGAAGTGAGGGACAAGGCGTGTACGGAAGGAAATTTCGAAGTGCCGGATAAACAGGAAATAAGGGACGAGGCGTTGTGGTTGGGGGAGAGAGTGTGGTGGTAGGCGGGCGGTAATGAGAAATGTACAGCCTTGCTTGATGGAGACTTGAAAATAGTGTGTTTAGGCGAACGTCCAAAGTAAATAATATAGATGTGCAATTGATCGATTACTTCGGAGCGCGCCGCGGCTTATACGGTAGACTCAAGCGTAGAAATGGAGGGCGGAGTAGGCGTGGCGAAGTTGATATGGAATGGATCTGCATCACTAAGGGAAGGATGAGCTGCTAGGTTAGCCTGAAATTCCATGATGGCAGCTGCAGCGGCAGCAGGAGGGTAAGGCGGAGGGTTGCTGGCTAGACGTGTGTAGTGCTGCGCCGGAAAGGAGTAAGAGTCCCAAGGCGTTAACTTGAGCACGCAAATAAAGGCCACGACCGATGTCCATGAGGCAGTGCGATGGATGCGAGAAGTCGAAGTGGCAGCCGGCTTGAACAGAGTGACTGACGGAGAGAAGATTGAATTTTAAGGCGGGGCAATGTAAGGCAAAGGGTAGAGAGAGAGGCTCATGATGAGCGATGAGATTGGCCGAGGTTTCGCCTGAGTGGGTGGTAACACCGAGATCGATCGGCCCGTGGCCGTGAACGGGAAGTTTGCCACCATCGCCCACAGCAAGAGTAAAGGACTTGTCGACAAAGGCGATAAGTAGCGACGGCGAGGCGTGCAGGAGGTGGTAGCACTTGAGTCGACGATCCATTCGTTTGAGAGTTGGGGATAAAGTGAAGGTTCCAAGGGGAATGGATTGGTGTGGTTGGGGAAGTACACCTTCAGGCACACCGTGTCCCAGGTGATTCCAACGTACAAGGGAAAGTGGGTGGTCATTGTGGGAGGCGTGGGGTTGGTTTGGTAGTTTTTGAGTTGGAGGTTGTCTATGATGAGTGGGATAGGCGGTGGTCGCGCTTTGGGATGGAGACCGGTTTGGTGCTTGAAACGATGATAGGCGATACACTTGTCATAGGACAGTTGATGAAAGGTGTCGGCAGTAAGGTTGGCCATTTGACCGTAAGCGACATCATTAATTGGACCCCAGCGGTCTTCTCATCAGAGGAGTAATAAGGGCGCGCAGCACGAGGTGGCGGAGGTTCACTGTAGGCGCCACCACGACGGTTGAGGCGTACGGGTAACTGTCGTGCAGGCGGGTCAACGTAATCGGCAGGCGTAGGAGGTCGTGTAGTGAGTTTGTTAGGTAACTGTCGTGCAGGCGGGTCAACGTAATCGGCAGGCGTGGGAGGTCGTGTAGTGAGTTTGTTAGAGTTGGGAGGCGTACGCGGAGGATGAATACGATAGGCGGGGAGTGGGGGCAGCAGAGAGCCATCCACCGTGGAAGAGGCGGGAGGAAGTGGTATATAGTTTTGTTGGTGTGGAAACTGTGGTTGAACGATGAGTGTTATGGAGGTAGCCCGAGTGTGGGTGTTAGGCCTGGAGGAAGGTGGAGGACATGTCGTTGTGGTAGAGGTAGGCGGAATTGATGCCTTGGTAGTGGAGGATTGAGGATTGGGATTGGGATGGCGTTGTCGTTTCGCAGGCGGTGCTGATGTAGAGCGTCGACGAAAGGCGGAAGTAGGATGAAAGGTTTGGGACGTGTTCCATCCAGCAGATGGACGTCCAGTATATTTTTTTATAAATATAATCTGGATAAATAAAAATTTGAGTGCTCTACCCCAAAAAAAGATCTTTAAATGCTCTACTTCAATAGATTTCGCGGAAAACCAGCTACTGTACTGTATCTCTGAGTTTGATTGGCCTTTCACCCCTAATCACAAATCATCCCCGTATATTGCCACATACGTGGGTTCGATCCTCCAAATAGTTTTACCTATTCTTCAATCTGTTCATAATTAGATCACTCAGTTTCGGTTATGTGGTATGTATGGGTAACTTTGCAAATCCGACACTTTCATCCGACAACGATATGATTAGTCAAATCCCTGTAAAGTTGCACCGGTAAAGTCATTCGTAAAGTTACAATTTCAGCCTATTCCCTGGACAATCATCAAAACAATCACAAGAGCGCCCCGAAGCACCAAAGATAGACCAAATTGTAGCTTGCGCGACGTTGCACTCGTTCCACTATTCAGAATGGCACAATTCACGCTAGTTCTCTCGCAAATTAGCTTCAAAGAATTGAAATACACTGCAACCTTCTTGGTTGCTGGCGAAATATAACGAATACGCAACGAACGAAGTGGAACTGCCGCGAATTGCTTGTTCATTTCGCGAAAAAGTATGGTGAGGTTCTCAAATTAACCGAAAAACGGTGTAATACGACATAGTAATAATACAAGATTCATGGCAAATTGTAAGAGCATCTCCAACGGCGTTTTTATCTCTATTTCAATTCGAAGTTACGGATATAGAGTAGAAACTCTTGCTCTATCCGGAGGGTTTGTTGCTATTTCACGCGAAAATAGAAATTCTGCGGGACGAAATTTCTAAAAAGTCCGGATGGTGCCAAAATAGCAACCGTAAAAACGAAGTTTGACTTTAACCTACTACCTCCAGACGGAAATAGAAGTCCCTTTTCATTCTTAGAGGTTTATTCAGAATTAACCGGAATTAATTATTTTATAGAGTCTCTTTGTATGTATCCGGATACGAGTCACGATTTTATACTGATTATATTAAAGACGTGCATTAATTTATGTTCTGTACAAAACATAGTTTAAATTGTTGCTGACTATTTGTTCATGCAGGTAGAATGCATGCAAACCACAAACATTCATAGAGTAGAACCCCTTATCCATTAGGGTATTCATCTTTAAGGTATTATATTCCACAGGGATACGGATCATACAAAGACCTTTACAACAAGCATACTTAGGGCAAAAACAGATAACACCATCAAACAAAACACCAATTTTACCAATTTTCACCAAAAGGGACTTCTATTTCCGTCTGGAGGTAGTATGCTTTAGCAATACTAGTAGGTTAGAATTTACCGTTGGAGATGCTCTAAATAAATAAGGCCCTGTTCAGGCAACTTCACTGAACGATCACTGAACGTTTCAACACTGAACAACTTTATTCTGATTGGCTAACTTATCCGAAATCCGGATGCGTTCCGTGTCGGAAGTATTTATTCGAGTACTATTATAATCGTAAACTCACGCTGCCATGTACTATTAATAGTACTACGTACCGGTGTAAATATGAAAGTTATACTATTAATAACGTTATAAATTAATATTAAAATATTAATCTATAACGTTATTAATAGTATAACTTTCATATTTACAAAGTACTAGTAATAGTACCGTTACGGTAATAATACTATTAAAATAGTATTATTAACGGTCGGAGTATCGATTTGCCGCAATATCGGTTTGTTTGAAATGTCCTTTCACACCCATGTTATTTAAAGTGGCCATAGGGGAGTTCACAACAGCACCGACGTCGCAAGATTCAGAGTTAAACTACTCGTGAGCTACTTATTACTTCCACCAAACACTCCCAGCTTAAGCGTTGCGAACAAACGATATGCCGAGGAACAAGAGGGTATCCACGTCCGACACTTGCACCGTCAAACTTCGCCCGGCGATTTCCACATCCCAGATAAACGTATCTGGGTCAGCCGTCGCAATCAGCTTGTGTGTGTACATGCCATAGTGAAGTACAAGCTGGTCTCTTTGCCTCGTAAGCTTCAGGTAGTCGTACAAGCCAGGGGATGCCACCGCCACATATGACCCAACCAACTTGGCTTGGGTCGTTGGGGAGATCACAAGCCCATCCACTTCCCATGGAACTCCTTGAAAGAAATGCGCGTCGCAGTCGCCGACGCCGTCCGGCTGCAGTTGGTTGGCTCGATGAATGGCTTGGTTCCACATCGCGTCCAATTGAGGTTGCGGCACGTCCAAGAAGATGCCGAGGAGGTAACTTCGAATGCGATCGAGGAGAAAGTACGGCGCCGAGCCAGGCGGGGACTTGGCGCCCGTGTTGGCCGCCAGCACAACCCCAAGGCGTTCGCTAGGAACAAATCCATTGCGCTGTTTGAAGGTCGCAGTATCGCCGTTTTTGGTAAAGAAGTCGTAGCCAAACATGACGTTCCCCACCACATCGATGCCGTAGCCAGCGGCTATGACATTTCCGTCGGGGTTATAAGCAAAGCCAAAGGCATCGGCGGCGTCCGTGTCTACCACGACCATGTTGTCCAGAACGGTGTGCCCCGTAGTTATCTCTTGCACGAGGGTAGACGACTTGAACAGATCTCGACCTGAGCTCAACAGAAAATGGCTGAAAATAGCCAAATCGTTGGCAGAACTGACGACGGACCCGGCTGCGAGGTCGGAAAATGCCGTCGACAGCAGTGCCAACGAGTCTGTGACAGTGTTAAACGGTCCAATGACTTTAGCTCCGCAGCTCATGTGCCCGTCGGCGAGGTGGGCGCCCTGGTGGGCGGCGGCGGCCTCGGCAGGACTGGCAAACGTTTCGTGCATGCCCAATGGGTTCCAAATACTCTGTCGCAGGAATGCAGGCCACGTCTGGTTGGTGGCGTGTTCGATCACTTGGCCGAGGATCTCAAAGTTCATATTCGAGTATGCATAACCACTTCGAATGGATCGAGTGGTGTTGAGCTCTGCCAAGTGCTCCACCAATGCTCGCTCAGTGGGGAATAGGCCGAACACAAACGCCAGGTCTCCGTCGAACGCCCCCAACACCGAGTTCATCGACAGCAAATCCCCCAGAGCCGTGTACTCTTCGGCGTATTTGTCTTGGAGTTTGAACCATGGGAGGTGTGATTTCACAGGATCGTGCCACGTCATCTTGCCGTCGTCAATCTAAACAAACGAGTGAACTTCGACACGAAAAATGAATGGTGTCGTGTGTGCGTGGGCTGTACTGTACCAGCTTGGCAATGCCCACGGCAATAAATGTCTTGGAGTACGACCCGATTTGAAACATCGTGCTGGCTGTGACTTGCGAGATGGGGTTGTCAGACTACAAGTGGACATTTCAAGCGTGAAATTCCGTGTATAAAGTTGGCCGCAGTATACCTGCTTCAAGCCAAAGCCCTGCGCAATCACAGTGTCGCCCTTGTAAGCAACCGACAAGGTCAGCCCTGGGATCGTCGGGTTTTGGCGCAATTGGGTCTCGACGAAGGCAACCGCCAGCGCCTTCTTCTCGGCCACGGTGCGACCGCCGCCAGTTGTGGACACGAAGCCATCACTGGGAGGAGATGTCAGCGTGACGGCCCACAAGGTCACGACCGAGAACACCGCGCCCACAAAGTACAACGCCCGCATGGAGATATTTCAAAATGCCAACTTCTGGCCTGCCACACTGAAGCAGAGTGCATGTCTGGATGCTGGTCAAAATTCAGAGCGTTGGTCGTTTGGCAAGGAGTTGGCGCACTGTTCAGGAATTGCAGCCTCTTGTATTGGTTTAGGTTAGGCATTTTGCCCTATCACGTAGAAATGATATGTATTTACTGTACCCCCACAAGCACACCATGAAGGTAGTGCCCATATGAGCCCGCAATGGGCAACTACAGTACATAACTTCCTCACTGTTCCGTCGTCGCGTGGTCATGACAATACACAGCTTTACGAGTAACATGTGTCGAACTTCGAAGTAAACCACGCGCACATCCAAACCACTAGTACTACTAGTAGTAGCTTACCAACGTTGTGACTCTCCAACTGTACGTTACTAGTATTAATAGTACAATACTAGAGCACTACTAGTACGTTACTAGTATTAATAGTACAATACTAGAGCACTACTAGTATTGTACTATTAATACTAGTAACGTACAGTTGGAGAGTCACAACGTTGGTAAGCTACTAGTACTGTTCTAGTACTACTAACGTTAACGTCATAACGTTTTTTGTATTATAATAATAACTTGAATTATTAATAACAGTTACGTAGTTGAGATAACACTAATACTAAAGTAAGTATTGGCTGCACTAACGTGTGTAGAATTAGTGTTAATCTTGTCTAATTGAAGCTTTGAAAGACAAGGTAACGACACCAACTTGTATTGATTCACAAAGTCAACAACGACACTTAATTTGGTTCACATGACAATGGTGCCTGGGTCGGGAATGTTTGTGGAAATCGCCTTATGCGGTAAGACGAGCCCGCCGTTGATGAACTTTTCATCTTTTACTTGCACGTCTTCGCCCAGCACCGTCAGTCCTTCCACGCGGCACTACCATCCCACGTTAGTAGTGCTGACGTTAACACTCGTTTTGTTTTACCCATCGGCCAATCGTCGACCCCCACCCAATGATACTGTTGTGAATCCAACTGTTGGATCGCACGGTCACGTCCCGCAACAACGTCGTGCGACTCAATCGCACCCCTACCAAACAAAATGGCACTTAAGGGTCTATTCAACACATGAATAACCCCACACCGTCTTCAATGACACAACCGGCGCCAATCACCACATCTGGGCCAATCAAGCAACCTTCACCAATGGTCGCCGTGGGGTCCTATGTATATATATATATATGTCCATATATCCTGCGAATATGACACTATTTGCAGTAACGTTACCACCAATACAAAACCAACTGTAGTGCCACCATGGGCCGACTGCAACAAGTTGTGGGAGTGCAGAAACTGCAGATGCCGACACATGCCTGAGAGAAAGTTCTACAGCAACGAATCACTTGTACAAAGCAATCAATCGGATTAGGTACCTTGGGCTCGCCAACATCTTGCCAGTATCCAGGCATGAGCATCGCAAATAGGTTGCCTTCTGCTGCCATCTGCGGAAAGACCTCTTGCTCCATGGACGTAGGTCGGAGCTACGCCTCGTATGTTAGAGCTAGAAATATATATATACTGAAGTAGTAGATATAGATATATATGACGTTAGATATATATATGTAGTTTGATTACCTCGATGCGATCCAACACGTCGCGATTCAAGATGTAAATGCCGGCGTTGACGTGATTGCCAACAAATTCCTTGGGCTTCTCAATGAATCGGTCGACCTGACCAGACCCTTCGGGGTCGGTGACCACGACTCCATATTCGCTCGGCTCTTCGACCTTTGTAATGAGAATAGTTCCTTCTCCGCCGTGGCTTTGGTGGAACGCGAGGGCTTCCGGCAGTACAGTCATGTCGGCCATCACGTCGCTGTTGATGACGAAGAACGGGTCGTCGGGATGCACCTCCAAGTGCGCGCGGGCCAGCGCAAGAGGACCAGCTGTGCCCAATGGCTCGGTCTCGTGAGAACACGTGATGCGAATGCCAATCTCTTGCGACATGGTGGCCAACGCAGCCAGCATCGCTGTGGGCTGGTAGTTGATGGCCAGGATGACTTCGTCAACGCCGACAGACGCCAGAGCTTCAATCTGATGGCGCACTAGGGGCTTGTTGCAGAAGTCCACCAGTGGGGTCGGATACGACAGCGTTAGTGGCCGCAGTCGCGTGCCGAACCCGCCCACCAAGATGAGGCCCTTCATCGTTGCCCAAAGTTTTATTGAAGTCGAATTCATCGTTATCCGGACATCTTTTGTACAGTACTAACTTAATATATAGTACACTGTGAGTAGGAAAGCAACCTTATCCGGACGGTATCCTACGGGATGCTTGGCTTCTACACTTCTACGCTAACCAAATGTGGCTGGGTGTGCATGAACTAGCGGCGATGCCTCGCAGGTGAAAGCCCTACTCTTCGCTACTGCGCGACAATGATGACTTCTCAGTGACTCCTGCGACCACTCGAGCCATCACGACCACTGCGCCATCGCAAAGTGGCGCGAGTTGGTTCAATCCGTCACGGCTCCACTCGATAATGGACAAAAGGCTTGACCATCTGCGCCTTGAGTGTTGTTGATATGTAGTACATGTATACACACACATGTTTGTTACTTTAATCGTTTGGTACACAATTGATAAAATGGCTTGAGGCCCCGCAGCCACTCCTTTTGCAGCGCCCAGTGCGATGACGTGAGCGCCACATGCACCTGCTGGGCGGCTTTAAAGTCGCGCCGCTGCAACGCCGCCGCCATGTCGTGGACGCTGTCGAGCACCGTGGGGGACAAGTCCGCCGCGTTGAGTTTGGCCACGAGGGCGTCCTTGGCCTTGACGGCTTCGGCGAGTTGCTTGGCTTCGGCACCCGACAGCTTTTGAAACGACAGCAACGACAGCAACGCCGTGAGAGTTTCGACAATCCCAAGGTCGTCCTCGGAAATGTTGGCCATGGCCGCAGTTCGAACGAATGGAGGGGGGCGGTCGACGGAATCGGCGGAATGGGAGGAGGAGGTTGATGGACGTGGTGCATCGTGTTGGAGGATCTGCGACACTGGTGTCAGTGGGGTAGAACTGTCGGCAATGAAGGTGTTGGTGGAAGGGATGCCGTCGTCCGTGGACTCGACTGGACGATGCGATGGAGCTGTGGCATCCAGTTGATATTGATCCAAAGAAGGAGGATGCAAGTTGGAGCTTGGGGTTGCTTGTGGATGCTGTGGACAAGCCGAAAGCGACGGATGATCTGAGACACTGCGTGGCTCGTTGTCAGCTTTGACATGTGAGTTCTGGAGGGGCGGCGACGGCGCTGGCTGCGACACTGGCGACTCGCTCAACGCAATGTTGTCATGACGTGGCAGGTCAAAATGCGTGTCCAACTGCACACAAATCATCAGTTTAGCATTGGTAATTCGATTTCAAAATGGACTGGGGCTGCCAATCGAATCGACGAAGCAAAATCGATGGAACAAAGTAGCCAATGAAATTATCGAAAAAAACCTTTCGACCAATCAAATTACAGGCGTATCCAGTGCAATTGCCAAGCATTTCACAAACAGTTCAACGTTGTATTGCACAGGAGTCACAGTGAGCATAGTTAGCTCAAGTAAAATGACGCTCGACGATTTCGTCGAATCTACCGAAAATACCAAATTTAGCTCGAAAGGACAATAAATAAACAACTCTTACTAACTGTAAATACATATATATATATATATATACACTCCCTCGTCCGATATAACTATCACTGTTATACTATTGTTTATTGTTATAAAGATCATGTAGAATAATTATCATTGTCCTATTCGAGTACTGTATATATGCATGCATGTACTAGGTAGTAAGTAGTAGTACTAGTCTTACCGGCGCGAGCTTGATCGGTTTGGGCGGCGACGACCGGAACGAAGCGATCGTCACGTCCTTTTTGGCAGTACTACTACTACTAGTAGTAATACTAGTCGACCCGCCACGTGTACCCGTTGTGGTATCATGCTTGGAAAACTTGCGAGCCAGCACCGGTTGGTCCCACGAGTGCAGCTAATTAATCACACATATATATGGTCAAGTCGATTCGAAATTCGAGTGCTCAATCGAATGAGAAGCAGCACCAAATCGGCAGACAATCGATGATCGACCAATCAAAACCCAGATCACGAACCAAGTAGCCAATCAAATCCACTCGTTGACCAATGCAAAATTGAATTCGTGTGTGACCTTAAGTAGTGTGAGACTGGACGATTTTCACTTACAAAAGTCAATACAAACAATCGATATATCGATAGGTTTGGCAAAGAATGCGCACAAAAGTCATCCAAATTTGGGTACAAGAAAGACAATATGTCAATTTTCTATGAGTCTACACACTAAATTCAGACGTACCAGCGCCGCGAACGCCTCGTACACCGGGGCATCAAGGTCCGGCGCCTGCCCCGTGCCCTGGGCCAGCACGTGAATCTGCTCCACGAGGTGGACGGTGGCCGCGACGTGCCCATGGGAAGATGCCGCCGCCGTCCACAGTTCCACCGTCTTGGGCATGTTCATAGCGCAGATAAAGCACAAACTGGCGGCAAAGGCATCCCCTGACTTTAAGAGCCGCCACGCCAGCTGGTCACACAGTGCCGGGAACTCGTCGCTCTTGGAGTACGTGCTCAGGATGGCCAGCGTTTGTTTCCACTCGAACGGGTCCGACTACTCGACCTCCATTTAGTGACCCATGGATATGTTATATATATAACGTACTTGCAACACGAGCGTGTCGAGCTCGTTCTTGATGATCGCCGCCACAATCTGCATAAACGGTCTGGTTTGCCGGCTGAAAAAGGCTTCCTGTGTGCGATGCCAGAGCTCCGGCCCGCCGCAGGTGGCCAACAGCAACGCATTTGCCAGCTGGTTGTTGGCTAAGCACACGTCCACCGCCGCGTCGAAATTTCCCACCTACATATATGCTTGTTAGAACAAGATAACAATTCCATTGTTCTGAACAACCATCAATATATATATATATATATATTGTGAATTCAATATATATTTCCGAAATTCGCGTGGTTTGTCTAATCAATATTGAATCACGCTGGAAGTTCTGATTGGCTGACTTTATATATACTTGTCCTTTCTGTACGAGCCAATCAAATCCTCTCAAAAATGGATTAGCCAATGGCGTCGATTCGTGATTATTCGATTGGATGGTGAGATTTGATTCGATAGAGTCTGGAAATTTGTACTGGCTGCGGTGGTGTCCACAGCAAATATAAATATTCCATCTATAAAAAATATATAATAATCATACATATAAATCAATACTTTCAAAATAAACTATGTATTTAAAATAAAACAAAACCAACTAAATAAATATATATACTGTATATATCAACGGCAACAGACGACGTCACATATTTCCACACACCAAAAATACAAGTGTCGACTGGTTTCAATCCGTTTATGTTAGAAACCAATCAAACATTTCAAGCATCGCCAAGGGCATACCAAGAGCGAGCGCGTGATGGAGGCTTCCGACGCGGCCGTAAAGGTTGGCAGCGGACCGCTTTCGACATCCGATGGCGACGGGAGGATGGCGGACGGGAGGTCGGCAGCGCCGTCAAATCCCAAGTGTACCAGCAGTTGCTTTCTGGCATCTGGTTCAAACAGAACTTTGAGAAAACTCCACGTGTGCCGCGCTTGGTCGTCGTCGATGTCCGTCAGCGTCGTGAGCTTCCAATCGCAAAATGCATCGGGAGTCAACTCGTCCAGCTGGTGCACTGCAAAGACAAGGGCATCGACGGGTTCAGGGGACGACGACGAAGCAGAGGAGGATGTGACGGGAAGAGGATGCATCGACCGAGCGGGGGAAGCAGCGACAGATGTCGCCGCTGCCGCCACGTCGTCATGGAGGACAGGAAGCTCCACAGAAGACTTGGAACGACTTGGAACGACTTCTGTCGACGAGAAACTCGATAGTTCTGGCGACAATTGAAGAGCGGGTGGTTCGGTAGTAGTGTCATCGGCTACTGGGGACGGAATAATAGGAGGAGTCCACTTCAAAATAGGGTAAGTTGCGCCTATCCCAATACACATTGCATTGATCAAAGTGGATTCTGATTGGTCAATATGACGAATAAATAAATTGACCAATCAAACCAACGCATTTGGAATACACGCCTCTGATTGGCCAAAACACAAACCTGCCGTGGCTTGAAGGACGTGGACGGCATGCTCGTTGACAGTTGTGAACGCGACTAGGCCGGGGTACTGCGGAGAAAACGTCAAGTGCGCCGCCGGTTCGGAGGTCGGGACCTCGTGGATGACCTGCCGCGTCTGCAAATCCCATACTAACGTGCGACCGTCCGTGCCGCTCGTCACGAGTAGACCTGTTCATTTCCATGAGTGAAACGAGTACTACTAATACTAGTACGGATACTCCTAGTACCTGAACCATGGGGACACCATGCGGCGGACACGATGCCGCCGCCGTGGTGGCCATGCAGTTCGACGAGGGGCACCGAGTTGCTGGCGCGAAGGTCCCAAATGTGCACCAAAGGCGACTGCCGCGTGGCGGTGAGCAGGAGGAAGCCTTCGTGCGGACTCCACGCCAGCGACGAGATGGCGCCGTACACGCTGACGTTGAAGCACGGCTTCTTCTGCTTGAGGTCCCACACGGTCACGTGGCCGCTGCTGTCGCCAGTCGCGAGGATGTACGGCGCGGTGGTGTTCCAGGACACGCTGTGTATGAACGTAGTTAGAGAAAGAACAACAAAAATGCACTAGTATGCACCATGTGATTTCGGATGGAGCGGACGTGGAGGCAAGGGCGGTTCCGGGAGAAAACACGCCGGGCGCCGCGACGTTGTTGACCGACATGATCCATACATCGCCATCCCTAAAGACATGTGAACATGGAAGGAGATCGAGAGATGTCGTGGAGACATACGCGCCACCAGAAGCAAGCAAATGTGTGCTGTCCTTGTTCGGGTTGAACTGCAACGCGGTGACGGCGCCCTTGTGCTTGGAGACGGTACTTAGGGCGTCGATGTGTCCAGTGGATATCTGTGTCGGGTCCCAAATGGATACCGTGCCGTCCTCAAGCCCGCCTGCCACAAGTCCCCAAGGGTGTGCGGCGGCGTGCTTTGTAGCGGGACTCCATGCCAACGTTCGAAATGGCGCCGGGGTCGGCACGAGACCCACAACGTGGGGAGCGGCATCCACGGCGCTGAAGTCAAGGGAAACAAGATGCAGCTCGCTGGAAGTGGTCCCCAACGCGAAGAGATTGCCAAGGTCCTTCACGGGGCTCCATGCAGTCGCAGCATTCGCTCGAGGGTCCATCGACGTCGTTGTGCTGCTGTCTCAACTGACGAGCAAAATGGTATAAATTCCACTTGTTGGAATTCGATTGGCCAATTCTATTTATGTTTCTACGAATCACATCGCTTTATTTGATTCGGCCATATTGGGGTCAGAATAACGACTCTGGACGAAAAAGACTCTCTGGAGTTTCAGCTGAACAATTGCATACATTTATGAAGTACTCGAACAACAGTAGTCCTACAACTAAGTTTACTAACGTTAGTACAGTACTACCTTTGATGGTTTTGTGGTCCGGACGTCGACATGTACGGTTGTTCATAATGGGTCGATATGCCAGCACTGAGCACGTACCATAAGGTCAGAACGAAGCCATTCTAGAGTCTTATGGCGTGGATGGAGGTCGTCTGGGCACCCAGTTAGTCGTGCTTGACATAGCACGTGCGACTGCCGTGAAAATCTAAAAATTCGACCAAAAACATCGGAAAAAATCGAAAGTTTTGGGCTTTTCTTATTACTTACGAGTAGTACGTAGTACATACTCCGTATGTATGTACTGTATCTTTGGGTTGGAAAACGTACTGGCGATCGTCCCACAGGTTGAACACATTCGATATTTGGATTGTATCCAATGAAGCGTGTCGAGTCGGCGCCGCAGCTCGGGAACTCGACGGTGCGCCGAGACGAGCTCAAGCCTGGCCACGAGTGGGTCGAGGACACGGACCGCAAGTGGTGCAAGCTATGCGCGCGCAAGTTCAACGTGTTCCGCCGTCGGCACCACTGCCGCATGTGCGGCGATGTCTTTTGCGACTCGTGCACTACGTTCGTCACGATTGTGGTGCGGGAAGAGAACAAGAACTCGGTACGCATCTGCGGCGCGTGCATCTCGTCGCACAAAGCCAAGTATTCGATCCGGTGCGGCCCGTCGACGTCATTGCAGGATGCTACGCTGTTGGAACGCGCGACGAAATCTGTTTCCGTGCCAAGTGCCGCTGCCAGCATCGCCGTGTCGGCGCCGGGACACCGCCACCACCCGCGACATCTATATGCAGCGCAAGACGCCCCTCGAATTCGGCAGCGCAAGTCCAACTCGGTCCATCAAATCTCGTCCTCCGGTCTTTTGGTCGACGACCTTCTCCCGTCGTCTCCGTCGACATGGCGCATGTTCGAGTTGGTCACCGCGTCATCGTTCCCCGAGACAAGTCCGTGGTCATACGCATGGCCTTGCCCTCCCACGACCACGTTTGAATCCCAGCGCCTCGGCAGTGTCCGCGACTCGTTGGCCAAGATGATGCATCGGATGCCAGACAACCTGTGCGATTTGCTCTGCAAGGGCTACGACTGTCCCATGTCCGCCGTGTCTGTGATCGACGCCACCACGCAGCACTTTGTCTCTCGTGTGGGCATCGCGCAAGACTCCCTCGCGCGGCACCTGTCGCTCTGCGCGCACACGATCTGCGGGCTGGATCCGTTTGTAGTTCTCGACTTGGCCGCTGACCCGCGCTTCCACCACCATCCGTTGGTCACAGAGGCCAACATCCGGTACTACGCTGCGGCGCCACTGGTCGCGGACGACGGCATGGTGGTCGGGACGGTGTGTGTGATGGACACGAAGCCGCGGAAGAGCTGCTTCGACGCGTGCTTGACCAGTATTGCCCGTATGGCGGCGCGCCATCTCAAGGACACGCCGCGGACGACCACGGACGTCACGCCCCGCCAAGTCGAGAACATCCTCGTCAACTTGCTGTCGAAAACCAACGACATCCACAACCAGTTGCTGCGACGCCCGCCACTCAAGACGACCTCGACGTAAATGTTGTTATAACCCACCATTGTAGTTGTCATGTTGAGAAATTATAGTAATATAATACTATACTATTGTAGCTGAGTATGTACTACTTACTGTACTAGTACTAAATAGTACCTCGAAGTACTCATTTTAATGGGAAAGGTAACGACGACCGTTACAGTTTCACCATCGCCAAGCTGCAATGGATCGATTAGACGCGCGGCGGGACCAAGTTTTGGCGGCGGTCGGTCGCGCGGTTCGAGTAGCTCAAGGCCATTGGGTGTACCAATGGATGGCTCTGGTGTGGACAATGTATGGCCAGCCTTGGTGGACATGGCTGTTTGCTACGATCACAGGCACGGCGACCGAAGGAGGCACGGAGAGTGCTTGGGCCAAAGACAAACTGACCACGAACGATGTGTATCGGGACCGTCTGCTGGCCAAGGAGATCGCCATGTTCGTGGACCTAGGGGATGCGTTGGGCATGAGTGGAACCCAGCGGCATGCGTTGTTTGTGAAGTTTCTGCATCTGGACTGGATGCGAAGAAGCGCCATCTCAATCCAAGACTTGTGTCTGTACTGCACATTGCGGCGCAGTCGATTTGCCGACTGCATCCTGCCCGTTCCCAACGACGGAGGAGGGTTTCGGCAGTTCCGTCATCGCTTTGAACTGGTGCAACTCACCACCGCGCTCTTCAACGTGTGCACCTTGCCTCCGTCCAAGGTCCCTATCTACCTACCTACTTACCTTCTCATGCACTCTCCAGTCGTGACATAGTCATGTGTCTAGTTGGTCGAATGGACACTAGCTCAAGCCAAGACGGACCCGGTCGTGCAGGCGCTCGTGCCTGATTGCGACAAGAGTCCATCATTGCGACTAGAAATCGCCCAAGTCCTTTTGTTCGTGTACGGCACCCTCACACCCAATGAAGCGCATGTCAAGTCTGCGCTAGAAACGTTGTATCTGTCCTTCAACGATTCCGTCGCGGCCTCCCACGGCATGATGACCCTAGAAGCGATTGTGGAGCGATTTCCAGGTGCGAGTTACTACTACGTAGTTAGTATTACTAGAGTCACCCCCGAGTGATTAGTGCTGATATTCCCCGTGTTTTGGCTTCAACGAACGCTGCGTCGACGAGTGCTGGGTACAAAGTTTTGGGCGGCACTGCAAGTCCGGCGAACCTCGTGGGGTAGTGGCCAGATCTTCTACACGCCCCGGGAACTCATGGACGAAGCGAAGGCGTACCGCACCGCCACCGACGAACGAGACTATGTACATGCTAAACACGACGACGACGACGAGACTCGCCACGTCATGACGGTGCGGACCAAAGTACTCCCCGTAGACGACGACAGCGGTGTGATGGACGAGGAGGACGCGACGGGACCGTTGGGATTTGCCGCCACGATTCAGCGGTATTCGAACGAAGCGACCGCGTGGCAAGTCACGGCAGACAACCTCCTCGCTGCGATTCATATCAAGCAAGTGCAGATGGACGGAAACATGGGCGCGGAGGCAGTGGGAGTGGAGTATACCCGGATCACCAAGGCCTTGAGGAATGGCACGTTGACGCCAAAGGAAGCGGAAAGCATTCGGAAAAGCATCGTCAAGCAGTATGGATACAACTTTGCCAGCTTTATCGTTGGACACAGCCATCTACGGCACAACCAGCACGATGCAGCAGCAGGACAAACCAAGCACAAAGTGAAGAAGCAGGCCGATGCCCCCGAGAACTGGCAAAAGGTGCGATTCATTGGATGATTTCGTTGATGTGTCGTCATCGTGGTGCATGTAGCTGTTTGATCCGAGCACCAAGCGCGCCTTTTTCTACAACGCACTCACGGGGGAATCGGACTGGCAGCTACCCCCGCATTGATGCAACCGGCAGACGACTTCGCACCGCCAACACCACTGTCGAGACTTTCCACGCGGCTTTGCAGCAACATTAGCGGCACTTTCACGCGCAGGACCCGCAACTTGAGTCGAACCAGGTCCTCTGATAGTGCAACTCCATCAACCAGGATGCTCCCATCGAGGCTCAATCCATGACACGTACCTTCCAGCGCATGCAGCAAGCATTCCTTCGCCTCCAGATCGTCGCGCACCATGTTGATCTCGGTCAACGTCACATGTCCTTTCTCCATAACGCCCAATACACTGGATGAGTTCGTTCAAATTGAAAGCGCGAAAGGTTTACATACGGATAATATCCGGATTCCCCACGACATTTGGAAGTTTTGATACTCGCGTCCAGATGCAATTGAGCTTGGGGTGAATCACAGCGCTCAAGATGAGGACCTGTGCTGGTCGATACGCCGACCAACCAGTGCACTGTATGCGTGCATATCTGGTGCAGGTGTCGTAGGCGATGTCATTAGGCAAGAATTGATACTTTTTGCTATCTTATGTCACTTTGCCAGGAGTTGCATGCTTCCTTGAACACCCACCACACATGTCCAGGAAAGGCTTCGGCGCCATTTTAGAACATCTCGTCTCTATTGAGGGCGACAACATGGCCATCCCTCACTCACGCCTTGGTCTTTGGACGCGCTTTCTTCTTGCGCAGCTTTTCGTAGAACGACGCCAAGCCTCCCCCCCCGCCACCGTTGTTGCCGCCATGGTCGTTCTCCCCTCTTTCGTCGACCAAGTGTGGACTACTTCCATGCGTTGTGACCATGTCTGGCAAGATCTTGGCCGATCGCATCTTCTCCAACATGGACGTCCGTTCCATGCATTCCCGATGGACGGTCTGCTGCAGCAGTTGAATCTCTTGATCCTTCTGGGCCACAATATGAGTCAGCCGCTCCACTTCTCCTTCCAGCGCCTTGTTATTGTTGTTGCTGGTCACCACTTCCTTGACCACTACCGTTGGCGCCGCGGACCGCATCTGCTGCAAGTCTTTCGCCATCGCGTCCAACTTTACATCGCGCTCGGCCACTTTCCTCTCCCACGCAACATGCTTGCGGTCCCAGTCCGCTCGTTCTTGCTCCATTGCCGCCTTGGTATCGCGCTATTCCACCATATTAAAATATTATCTTATCACAATAGCAGCATTGTTGCCACTTACGAGGGCAGCTTCAACGTCGCGCAGCTTTTTCTCTAGGGCGGTCGCGGCGCTCTTGTCTTGGTGACTACTCAACTTGGCGCGCTACAGCAACATGAGACTAGTTCATTGGTATGAATATAACTTTGACGATGTAATGGAATCCATATAATAATATGTAGCCGACCTGTAACTCTTCCATGTATGATTGACACGTTCCTTTCGCTTCCTGTAGGGCCTTGTCCGCCTCAATCGTCTACAATTGTCTTTTTACTTGGATGAATTGCTTAGAAACGACACACCCGTTTCTCTGCCACGACGAGCATTTGCTTCAACTGAACCACGGTGTCGTCCTCTTTCAGCCGACGCACTTCATCTTCGAGTTGCGCTACTTGCTGCTCAAACGCGGTTGTCGTCGAGTTGGCCTATATAAATATAAAAATAACACGTCCAGTTGGCCTATATATATATATATATATATATATAACACGTCGAGTAGTTGGCCTACAGTATATAAATATAAAATACTACGTCGAGTTGGCATATATATATATGTATATATAACAAGTTGGCCTATATATATATATATATGTATATATATCACGTCGAGTTGGCCTATATATATATATATATATATATAGTCGAGTTGGCCTATATATATATATATATATATAGTCGAGTTGGCCTATATAAAAAATATATAAACACATTCTTATTTTTAAAATATCCCCCTCCAATATCCAAACAAGGGAGATACATTACCGACTGCACGTTCCAAGCTTTCAAAGCCGCTACTTCCTTGGCACATTCCGCCTTGAGATTGGCCATGGCAGAGTTGTGTGTTGCCTGTACAGCCTCCATTTGCCGCCCTTGTTCATCCAGACGTCGCTGCAGTCCAGTCAACTGTGCCTACATTTATATAATAATCATCCTGTTTCCGGTATTCTTGATGTTGAGGTTACCTTGACCTGGTTGACCTTGTCGTGTGCGATGGCGATCGTTTGCTTCAACTCGTCTCGTTCGGCCAGCAACAGCGCCTTATTCTTCTCTAACGCCGTCGCCAAGTGCTTGTACTTTGCCACGTCATCCTGTAGCGCTCCCACATCCGCCCGCTCGACTTGGGCGTTGGCTGCCACCCGCGCGGCTTCTGCTTGTGCTAGCTCTACCTACCAAGCCAGTCAAACGAAGCCATAGGATAAAGTATTTAATCTATGGGATATTGTTATTACCTGGGCCTGCATTTGGTGTAGCTTGACCTGTGCCTCTGTCACAGACGTCGCCTGACACTCCATCATGTGGGTCACATCTCGCCACCGTGCGTCGCTTTCTGCTGCCTTGGCCGCGAATTCCTGCGACTCGACTGCACTGGCATGCAAGTTTTGCTCCATTTTTACCACCAATTCTTCAAGGCGTTGCCGTTCCAGCTCGCCCGCCGCCGATTGTACAGAGTGCTGAGTCAGTAGACTTGTGCGCTCGAGTGTCCACGCTGCTTGGGCAGCTTCATACACGACTCTTGCTTCTCGCAACGTTCCTTCCATCTACCACTCCCATAAGCATGTCACCTATCTACGTCCATATGTATGTATATATAATATATACATGGCATACATGCTGAGCCTGTTGTGCGATGGTCTGGTCCTTGTCGACGATACGCGCTTCCAACTCTAGTACTTTGGTGGCAGTCTCAGCCAGAACTCGACAGCGAAGCCCTTCCAACTCTGTCTCTTTGGCAGTCAATTTAGCCTCGAGGGATTGAATGCTCGTCGCTTGAAGGGTATTCCGTCGATGCAACTCGACCAGTTTCTCACTGGCGACGCCCATCGCCGTGTGAAAATCTCGAGTCCAAAGGGCCAACTCGTTGCGCATGGTGGCGTTGGTGGCCTTTTCTCGCTGCATCCACGTGGCAAACGTCTGGTGCGTTCATTTAGACGCTAAAGAAGACAACGTGGGAGGGGGGGTCGTTGTACCTGGCATTGGCGTTCGTATCGCCTCACCCGTTGCGTCAGCTCCTGCACTTCGGCAAACACAAAGTAACTGACCCCGCAAAACGTGCAAGCCGTGTCCGCGGCGTCCATCCGCTGGACCGCCGCGGGAAGCTTTTCGCGCTTTGGGCCATTGTACAGCTCGTCCTTTGTCGGGTCTCGGAGCACGTCGTGCGCATGGAGCTTGAACCCCGACATGCCATCAAGGGGCTGCTGAGTGCTATAATTAGAGCCTTGGTACTGTTGCTGCTACTGCACTTGACGAGAGGCCATTTTGAAGCGATGTCCTTAACTATTGCCACAATCGAAATGAAGTGCAAACAAGATGTACGCCAACTTCCTATGGTGCAAAGCTGTATACATATTGTAGCTCCCCCCTGGTTACACGTTGTGACCCCGATGTATTTTCCGTACAGTTGACCTTAATACTGTACCAGGACACCCACCAAACCATATCAGCCCCACTACTACTGTAGAACCCCCCTCAAGTGTTAGCCAACTTGGAACCATATCAGCATTCCATTCCCCCACTACTACCGTAACTGCAAGCGAACTTGGAACCGGGGTACACTGTACTAGTACTACGTACTACAGTAGTACTGTAGTACTACAATAGTAGTACTAGTATATGGTAGCGCGCCAAATAGTACTGTATATACAGTACTGGCACTTATTAATACTACGTACTCCGTAGTAGTAAGTTACTTCAGTAAATGTAGCACTACAGTAGTGCTGCGTAGTACCACTGCTGTACAAAGTAGGAGAATTACTCTACAAACAACGTCATCATGTGTGTGCGTGGTGAACATGCAATTAGAAAAATTGATGACAAACGTTACAAACGTCAACACAAGCATACAAATGTCAAGCTCTTCCAAGACGAGGCGAAAATGTTACTTGAAGTACACTATATAAATAAGGGCCCGCTTGGAAACCTGAAATATTACAATATTCTGGCCCAAAACTCCATTTTGGGGGCCGAATTCAATAAATCTGGCAATAATTGAAACATGTCTTGCTTGATACTACGTAGTAGAAGAGTTTTAACACAAATCCAATAATTCCAAGTGGTTTACTGTACTGTACTCCTGGAGGTACCATCTTACAAAATGGACCTTTTTTTTACCTCCATTTTGAAAATGGCATTTTTGGTATATCCCATTTGCCAAAAAATTGAATATTATTTTTGAAAAGTTACCAGACGGCCCTAAGCAATCATTTAACAATGTCGTAGGACTCTGCTGGACATTCCAAATACCCAGCGTCAGCAAGCTTTAATCCACGTGGCCAAGGTGGTAAAATGGGTTGCCAATTGTATGTGAATTCCAGTTCCTGATCAGTGTCGACAAGGGTGGTGTATTGTAGCATGGGGGCCGCAATGCATCATTCATTTATAACGAGTGAATAAACGAATAATTCTGACGACCTGGCTTTTTACGTTTGCCATGTCAAGTCGTTAGCATGAGCGAGAACGACAAGGATGGCGAGAAGACCGTGGCCGACACCTCCATCGGCACCACCGTATCTCCGAAGGTGCCCACGTCCTCGTCGACGGCGTTCACTATTGGCAATACCGAGACAGAACCTAACATAAACGGCGCGGCAGGTGCATCCTCCTCCTCCTCCTCCTTAGCCGAATACGGCGCCACCGCAGACTTCATGGACCAGCCGCCATCCCATATCAAACTGGTCATCCCTGTGCATGAGGCCGCTCGAGAAGGATTGACGGCCGTGAGTTCGAGCTCGCCCCTACCTTCGAGTTCGTGGAAGTTCTCCCCCAACAGCGTGTTGTCATCTCCCAGTCGGTCGGGGCTGCTGTTGTCAGACCACCCGGCTACTCCTCACAACAACACGACGACTACCGACCCATTGACGTACATCGCGCACGGCCTGCATTCATGGGACTCGTCTGCCAACAGCGGGCCTCCTTCGTTCATTCGACCCCCGACGGCCAACTCGCCGGACCGGCAGCACTCGACCAGCTTGCAAGTCGAGATCCAGGCGGTGACGTTGCCCGCGGACGGCGGCATCAAAGAGGTCGAGGACGACAAGGGTACGCACATCGTGTTCGCGTTGGAGGTGCGCCTCATGAGCGGACGGCAGTGGGTGATTGAGAAGCGGTACTCGGACTTTATCGACTTGGACGACCGCATGCAAAAGGCCAACGCCGCGGGCGTCCGCAACCTACCCTTTCCCAAGGAGCTCCTCTCCTTTCGCGGCAACACGCATGGCGAGCTCGACCAGTGCCGACTCGACTTGGAAAAGTACGTCCAGGGCCTGCTGCACATGCAGCCGTTGAAGCCGATTCTCACCTTTCTCGCCGTGGATGCACATTTGGCATCGCTGGATGGCAACGACCGCATACAACAGCAGCCAAAGCAAGTCGACATGAAGAACGACGACCTCGCGCCAGACGGCAGCCAAGACCAGTCGAAAGCCGCCCGTCAGCACCTGAACAGGAGCTCCCCATCGTCCTCCAAGCCGCCCGCGGCTCCGTCCGGATCCGACGGGGTTGCGGTGGATGCTGCCGCCATGTCGTCCGAGACCAACGCGATGAGCCAAGCCACATGCCGACGTAAAACCTCAGCAACGACGTCAGGATGGGGGGCCGACACGTTCAACTACACGGATACGACCATCGCCAAGCTGCAAGACGCTATCAACAGCCACGAGCTGAGTGCCGAGGACATTGTTCAGGTAGGTTTGGGTCTTGTCTCAGCTCTAACGGGGATGTTATACATATCCATCACTCATCATTATAAAGCATTATTTGGACGTGATTGATCAACTCAACCACAACGGACCACAAGTAAACGGTGTGATCGAGACGAGCCCCACGGCGTTAGCCATCGCCCAAGACTACCGCAATGGCGGCCTGCTCCACGGCATCCCCGTCCTCGTCAAGGCCAACATCGCGACCTCGGGCGACGGGTTGACTGCGTGCGCCGGGTCGTCTGCGATGGAGGGGAACATCGCCCCCTGCGACGCCGTTCTCGTCCAGAAACTCCGCGCGGCCGGCGCAATTGTCCTCGGACATGCCAACATGGTTGAGTGGGCCAACTGGCGCAGCCTCACGGGAAAGCTCGACTGGAGGTACTATCTATCCAATCCCCAACGCCGTCGCAGACGACTTTGTATGGTGTATATATATATAATACACTTGTGTGTAGTGCTCGCGGCGGCCTCACCAAGAACCCGTATGTGCTCACTGCGCCCACGTCCGGTTCGTCGTCTGGCTCGGCGTTGACGGTGGCGGCCAATATGATTCCAATAGCGATCGGCACCGAGACAGGTCTTTTTGTGGTAGATATTGTGCATTTCACCCAAAATTTGGACTTGTGAGTCATTTCGCCAAATAGCATTCGAATCCATTGGATCGAATTTAAGCTTGTACAAACTATACTTTACGAATATTAATATATATGTAGTTTTGCCCAATGCGGTCGAGTCAAAGAAATTCACCCGAACGTGATTTGATTGGCTTTGGCGATTCTTTAATCCATTCTCTAACTTATAATAACACATTCGATTCTGCTCCAGTTTCGAATCGATTTGACAATATGAGTGGTTGGTCAACTGTCTTTGTCTATGGATAGACAATTCAGTTATTCTCTTGATACACTATAGAAATATTATAAATTTTTAAAACATATATATATTTCTATTTTTTATCTATTATTTTGTGTTTCCCTTGATTAGGAGCAAAAATTACAGTTATTTTCGGGGGTTTCATGGGAAAATCGATACAATAATGTAGATGGCAGCATTGTGAGCCCAGCATCATATGTGTCCATCGTCGGGTTGAAGCCAACTGTGGGCCTCGTAAGTCGCACGGGCGTGATCCCAATCTCGGCGCGCCAAGACTCTCCAGGGTACGTAATGTATCACATATATCCACCACATTATACTACATTTCTTGACGGTTGTATTCTAGCCCCATGGGCCGCACCGTAGCGGACGTGGCCATCGTGTTGCAAGCCATCGCCGGCTTCGACCCGACCGACCCCGCCTCCAAGGACATCCCCGTGCCTGAGTACTCGCAAACGTACAACGCCCTGACGTCGTTCAAGAACGTTCGCGTGGCAGTGTCCAAGCAAGCCCATGACATGACCCAGAACGAGTTCCTTTCCCAGGCGCAAGTCGATGCTTTTAACCGCGGGGTGGACACATTGAAAGCGCTTGGCGCCGACATTGTGTACGCGCCGTACCCCAACGCCGCCGCCATCTGGACGTCCAACTGCGAAGTACGTTGAGATTGGGGACGAGCTTGGACGAGCTTTGGTTGATGGGATATTACAGCTTGTAGCGCTCACGACTGAATTCAAAGTCGATGTCGAAGCGTACTTGAGCACGTTGGCGTGGAAAGAGGGAGTGACGCCAATGAAAACGCTCCAGGACATTGTCGAGTACAACGCTGCGCATCCCCAAACGGAGCTTCACGTGCTCGATCAAGTAAAACAGCATTAGGCTTATTACGTTTATTTCGTGGTTTCTATCTACCCTCCGTTCTAGTCGTTGCTATTGCAGTCGCTTAACGGCCCCAACCAAACCAGCACCGCCTACCTGGATGCGCTAGCCCTGTGCCAAGACTTGGCCGTGACCAACGGCATTGAGAAGTACATGAAGGACACGCAAGCCGACGTGATCTTTGCGCTCACTGCCACGTGGTCCCAGGGACCCAATTCCCCTGGGTACCCTGCGATTGCGGGGTGGCCCATCCTCACGGTACCCTTGGGGTACGACCACTCGGTGCCGTTCGGCGTGTCCTTTGTCACGCCCAAGTACCACGAAGAAAAGCTGCTGCAATACGGCTACATGTTTGAACAAGCCACCAAGATGCGTGTGCCCCCCCAGTTTGTGCCCGACAATGAAGCCCCCCAATCACCTAGCTAATGTATTTTTAGTAATGTACAGGAATATACCTTCAAAACGTTTAGATTTGACGAACGTGACAACGATCTGTGATACAGTACTATTCATAGTATCACATGATGTCCACGTCGATGCAGTAGATTTGGACCATTGGCCAATTGCCAACCACTGGATAGCGAAGCTACACTGTCATCAAACGACGAGCGTGCATTCAATTTTCAGTCCTTGGACAAACCACAACTGCAACCTTGAATGCATGGTTGGCGACGACAGCACTCATACTAGTACACAGTACTAACATGTAGCCCTGTGGCCTGGTTCACGTGTACATCTACAGTACCGGTACTGTAGTAAGTACGTTGTAAGGTAGAGTTGTACTTCGAAATGTGTCGTGGGAACGTAAGGTAAAGTGAAAATTCCACATTTCAACATTGAGGAGACCACGATACATATTGGCCGCTGTGACACGAGCACTTTGCCAGCGTACTAGCCAATTACTCTTTATATTTTCCACCGCAAAGCATCGTGCTTTGTGCAGGACTTGGCTGCCGGTGTCTTGATTGCGGTTGGCGACAACAAGATCGACGCACTTCGTGTCCTGCTTGAGCACAGAGCTATCGCCAACGCGAATTCAGTTCGCACACTTCCTATAGATACATTGCCATCGGATGTTCACATATCCTCGATTAGGAAGGCGTGGAATTGGAACGCCAAGACTTCGTACGTATATTGTGATTCAGACTGCCATTGCATCCAACGTTTCTAGGACTAGGACACTGCCGCGGCAAAGGCAGACCGATACGACCGTCGGGAGGTATGGTGCGGTCGCAAAGCAGTGCAAAGTACGACGTGTTGGAGACGTCGTTCTGAAATACCAAGTATAATTTTAGGCCAGACCAACGTTGTTCAAGTCGGCGGTGACCAAGATCACGTCCAAGTCGGTGTCGATTTTCATAGGATTGCAAGCCAAAAACAAAAAAATATGTCCCCCGAATCGAACCCATCTCACGCCATTCCATCAAACCCATCGAATTAAGAGCGTTGTGCACAGTCGATGAAGTCATTAGCTCCTGAGAGCCAAACAGTCAAAGACGTGTATCGTTGAGACTTTAGGGTTCGACATATTGGAAGTTAACCAGCATTTTACGACGTGATTGCATAACATGATGGCGGTAGCATGAATTAAGCAGTGATTAATTCGTGCTACATTGCGAGGGCGCGAATCTAATTCAACTCGCCACGGAACGTGTCGTTGATCGCCAGTCGCTACATTGAACAGTGGTTACTCAATGAATATATATACGACGATAGGGTCGTACACCCGACAGTTCTGCACACGATTGGGCCCGGCCCAGTTGGGTGCTTTTCGGACGAAACCACACCCCTTCCCTGCCAATACAGTAATAAATTAGCATAGAATCACAAACCCTCCAACTGTAGTACTTGACGAGCCACGACACGGGCTTGGCTTTGGTCGTAGTCTAAGCCCATCGAGAATCAATACTTCGAAGTATACAACACACTACTAAGTACACTCGTACCAGCAAATGATTGGCTCGACCGTGCAACTTGGCCTTGTCATTCTCGTCCTCGTTGTCTGGGAATATCAAGGTCGCCGCATGGGCTCTCGACTCGAACAGTTTTCGAACGGCCAACGAGCTGTTAAATAGTCGGACGTCCGGGCGGGTGTGGCTCTGAAGGCAGGCTTTTGTCACGGCCTTGAATTGTCCATTGACAGCAACTTGCTGGCTAGTAGTATTGGTTGCAGAAGAGGCCCGCTTGGAGCGTTGGGTTTCGTTCAAAGGCAATACTTCCTGTATTTCAATATCATGTTATTACTGACAAGTGTATCCCATATGTACACATGCTTAGCAGTACCGAAGCTGACGCCACCCAAGCCTTCAACACAGCCCGACAAAACAGTCGAATATCCACATGGCCATTCCCGAGCACGTCGAACCGCCTGCAAACGCGAACAAGGTCGTTCGCTGATATCGTAGGAACCAGCACTTGCAACCCGTGCACAAAGCTCTCCCACGAGCACCAGCCGTTCACGCACTGCACATGCGCATAGCCAGGCATTGCCACCAACATCTGCGTCGCTTGGCCAAATATAGCTTCCATTTGGCTTTGGTTTTCCATGTGTTTGGCGCAAATAGTGTGGGCCAGCTCCTGGCAGAACGTGGTCCAAAACGAGCGGTGGGTTGGGTCCATACAAAATGTTTGAAACGCACCAAGTGTGACATTCCCAGTGCGTTCAATGTCGAGAAAGTCAAAGCAACAACACAGCTCTTCGCATGAGAACGATACCACTAGCCTATGAACAACATGCAAATTATTCATTCGAGAGGTGGATGATTGTTGTAAAGTGTATAGTACGGCTGGGGGGGCCCCATCGTGGTGATAAAACGCTCGACGCCAAACGCGGTAGAGTCAGTAAAGCAATGAAAGAGCGTCTGCATGGATTCGCGGGTCTGTTGCATTCGACCGAGAAGGGCCGATCGAAGTGTAAACGAAGGGCCATTTGCACCACCACCATCATCATTGAAACGAGTGGTTGAACGCCGCCTCTTGGCTCCGTTGCCTACAGCTACTTGTGCTCATGATTCAAGCCACCTTTTAACTACACGTGTTGTATACTTAGGGACGTACTGGAATAGCCAGCATCGCCTCGGTCCGTGACAGTCCACACCACAGGGAGAACGAATGCCGAGTGTTCTTGGAGTGCCAAGCACGTGGCGGCATGCTCAGGAGTCGACACGACCAGATCCGCCAGGCGGTGCGCTGGAGTGGAAGCCCGTTGGGGGCGGCGGTCGCGGAGTGGACACGGCGTACTACTTGCTTGTACATCGACTTTCCAGTGCTTTAGAATCCACTGGATAGGACCATCGGAAGTTGTGAGTCGCCGGCTGTTGGTGAGGTGTTGGTGGTTAACAAGGTCGTCGTGGATGTGCTGGACTGTAGCCTCCACGTTCTGGACATGTTCAAATGTGTTCACGTTGCTATCATAAAAATAGTCAATCACACATATATTCACCTTGGAGGGGGATGTATTGTTACATATTGCTTAGTTGCAAGGCTAGGCGGTCACTGTACAAAGTTCACATTAGTGCATAAGAACATGATGACATTAGTGGGTACTACCTGACATCCCCCAAGCTGTCCAAGTCGTATAAATGCCTAGTGTGCGTCAAGCCCTATTGCATTCATGTTGTCAATGCATATAGATTTAATAGGAATATGAGTCTACCTCCAGCACAACGGAGTGGCCCACGAGGGGGCCCAAGGGGGTGACCTGCAATAAGTACGACACGAACAAGCCAACATGCCCATTGGCTTTGTGCCACTGCTGCTTGACACAGTCTCGATGAGTACTCAATTCGCCCAGCGCTGTGATCAAGTCGGCCACACAATGCACTTCCAGGGGCGAGTTGGTGATGGCCAGCTGCGTCCGTGCACACTGCAGCCGCAATATGTGACGGCCAAGTTGAAGGAAGCGCAGTGTGATGGTGATGGCGTAAGGACGGTGGCTTTTCGCTTTCCACTGGCATGATGCCGAAGCAATGATTGTGATGTCAGATGGCTGCATACGAATATGACTGCAGCCTTCAACTTGAATGTACAGTGGTTGGCCTTGAACGATGCGAATACAGCGATGGCAGGGCCTCCCGTTGATTGATTTCTTCGTCAGCGAGATCCCAGACAAAATGAAGTTGCTGAGGGGTGGTAGCATACTAGTATCCCCAATGCTTTTGCTGGGCTCATGATGTAGTCCATGTAGATCTTCCATTGAGGCACTTGTTTCTTGACCATTCCCGTAGTCCATGTTGATCATGTGACGTTGGCAGTTACATCTTCTATGTACGTATTCTAGTGTTATAACTAAACTTCAAAACGTTATAACATAGTATGACGGTTCACAATTGTTTCGTAATATTAATATCAATACTAATAATATTAGTACTAGGTATGTACTACTGGTATTAATATTGATACTAGTACTACTACTAGTACGTAGTAAGAATAAATCCATGTCTGCCACTGCATCAATCTGATTGGTCAATGCCTTTGGTCCCCTGGTTGAAAGATTTCATCATGTTTCATTCTTTGACGAAGGACGAAGAGATGGAGAAGAGTGAGCTGCCCATGCGCTGGCTGGTGCTGTTCCTGTCCTGCACCCTCATGATCGGCAACTACTACTGCTTTGACAACCCCGCGGCGCTTAAGAGTCAGCTGCAGCAGCACTTCAACAACCTTCCCGCCGAGCGCTACGAATTCCTCTATGTAAGATCATTCGCCCAACAACCTCAGTGTCGTCCACTGACTCTTCCTGCTTTAGAACTTGCTGTACACGCTGTACTCGATTCCAAACATCATCCTTCCATTCTGCGGGGGATTTCTCGTCGATCGCCTCGGTGCCCGCGTCACCCTCCTTATCGTACGTTCCACGAAGTGTTTGTCATACTTTCTCTGAAGCCCACACCGTAGTTTGCAAGCATCATCACAGTGGGCCAGATCGTGTTCGCCATCGGATGCTCCACGACCCAGTTTAACGTCATGCTGGTACCTCTACGACCTCCTTCCATGTCGGTGCATATTCACATGGGCTTTCTAGCTCGGACGCGTGTTGTTTGGATTGGGCGGCGAAAGCCTCGGGGTCGCGCAGAGCACGCTTGTGGCGTCGTGGTTTAAGAACAAGGAGCTTGGTTCGTCGTTCGACTATTCCGTGCTTAGCCTTTTTTGTCCTAACATGTCCTTTCCACAGCATTAGCGCTCGGCATCAACCTCAGCATTGCGCGCCTCGGCAGCGTCTTCAACAACGAACTCAGTCCCGAAATCGCGTCCGAGTACAACGTGTCGAGCGCGCTGTGGGTGGGTGTGCTCATGTGCGGGGTATCCCTCATCGCCGCGCTCACGCTCGTTCCCATCGACAAACGCGCCGACGCCGCCATCCGCCGCGCGACTGGGTCTTCATCGTCGTCCCTTCCCGTGAAAGCCACCCCATCCGACCAAAGCATGGGTTTGCACGACTTGCGGCAGTTTGGGTACCTCCTCCCAGTCCTCCTTCTCCTACCTTTCTCTGTCCGACCTCCTTATCTCTTGTGTAGCCCGCTCTTTTGGCTTCTCTCAATCTCGTGTATGGTCGTATACGGGTGCGTGATTCCATTCAATAGCGTCGCTAGCAGCCTGCTCATGGAGCGCGACTTCTTCAAGCAACCGCCCATCGAGTGCCGCCGCTGCGACGTCGGCGCATACGCCCGTCACAACTGCTCGACGCTCGCGCCGTCTTGCCCCTCCGTGCCGCCATTTTCATGGCCGCTGCCGTCTTTGAGTGCCAACTGCTCGGCCATCACGACCCCGCAAGACCAAGACGCGTGCATGCACCTCCCGCCGTACATTTCAGAAGCCGCCATTAACTGTGACGCCGTTGCGTGGAAGCTCGGCAAGTACACGCGCGCGTTTTGCCAGCACAAGAGCGCCGCCGCGTCGGCCGCCGCCACGCCCATGAGCGTACCATATCTCATGTCGGCCATCCTCAGTCCGTTCATGGGTTTCGCCGTCGATCGCGTCGGCTGCCGCGCCGTCCTCGCGCTCGCGGCCTCGTTCGCTCTGATTGTCGTGCATTTGCTCTTGGGCCTGACCGATGTCACGTATTGGCTTCCGTTGGCGCTTCAAGGCATGGCGTACTGTGTGTTTGCCGCGGCGTTGTGGCCGTCGATCCCGTGTACGTGACAACGAGGAGGTTCTGCATGTTCATGTCAACGTGACCGAGCAACATGGAAGCGAGTGTGGAGTGAATCATGGCGTGAATGTAGATGTGGTCGAGCCGCACATGGTCGGCAGCGCCTACGGGGCGATCACGTCTATCCAGGTACGAACACACTGTGATATGGCACTCGCATGCGATACAGGGACGTTAGTTTGTACGTTTGACATTGGAATGCATGCAATGGTGGGGTAGAATCTCGGACTGGCGGGGTTTCCACTGCTCGTGGCGTTGGAATTTGATCTGCAGCACAAGTACATTCCTGGCGTGGAGATGCAGTTTGCCATGCTGGCTGTTCTGGGTGCGGTGGCGGGCGTCGCGCTCAACGTTGTCGACTACCGCCATGGATCCGTGCTCAATCGCCGCCCCCACAGCAAGCCTACCACCACACGACACCACAAGGACGACGAACACACGGAAGCGCTGCTAGATCCCAACCAGACCGAGTTGTAAGCTAGGGGAATGACAGATTGATGCTCGCTTTGGGGTTGTACATCTCTCCACATGACCGGTCTACTCAAGGAATCGCTGCATGAAGCTATCGATCGCGTTGTCCGCATGAGACGACTTGTCCCTAGCACGTAGATGGCCAGTTTATGGTGCACTTGAAAGAGACCTCGTCGTAGAATGCAGCTTACTCGTCTCTTAGGAACGGGATTTCAACTCTGAAAAGTGCTGCATGAAGCCGAAAGGTTGGGCATTCTTCTGGTTATTTAATCGATATGTTTTTGCTTAGTTTTTAGTGATTTCATTTTTCTAGTGATTCGATTGGTTACTCTAAAACTCAAGCTATTCCATTGGCCATTTTTAATGCATCTTAAACATACTACTGTACGTTACTTTGGAAATGACATTTGGGAACGTTGGTCCTTGAGTATTGAGGATTTGATTGGATGCATTTTGTCCAATGGTTTTGGGCATAGGAAAGTTTTATAAATTAGGCAACACAGCTTGATATTTGTAAGCGCATTGTGGAAATGCAATAATAATAATATGGCTCTGCCTTTCGGATGATTGATGCTAAAATGACGACGATGCGTATCCTGGCACTGTCGGTGGTAGCGTCCTTCGCAAAGGCTGCCTTCAACGCATCGGCATTGCCGCCAGTCCCAAGAAACTTCCCCACGTACACCTACCCGGACGATTTGAACCTGGCGCATTCCTTTCCTGTGACCGTGAAGAAGGGTCGAGACCTACTGCTGCCACTTGCACCTCTGAAACATGCACTGTTCCCAGAGGTGGACCCTGTCGGCAGCTTCTCTCTAGGGGTATCTTTGAGTGCTTGTGCTGGCTCCATGTACGTATCGCTGGTCACCACCGACAACGTCGTGTTCCCACTCTCCACAGCGGCGCTGCAGTGTTTCACGTTCGCCAAGGAGACTCCCTCCACGACGAATGCCACCAACCTGTGTCCAGTCTTCTATGGCCCTGACGACCTGTACTATACTATCGACCCATACAAGATCCAAGGAGGTAATGCTTCTTCTCCTGCTTTGCAATGTCTTCTCAATCGATGGTAGTGCTGATCATGGCCGACGTGGACATGGATTTGCAGGTCGCCGTGTCGTTCGCGTCTTCACTTACGTTTCCCCATGGCTATCCTCGCATGTTCTCAGCCGACTCGTTACCCAACATGACTCTGGATGCGACATCGTCTGCCGTGGCATTTGAACTCCCGACCACCGTCGACGTCACCTCCTTGGTCGCTTCGACCTGCAATGACTGCATCTACACCGTCTTCCTCTCTCCCGTGGTAGCCCATGCAGCTCCCGCTCCCGTCCTTGCTCCCATCTGTCTTTTGGCGTCGTCGATGGCGCGGCTCCCCTTGGACCGATCCGGAGCCTCGTCAGGCGGACACATCCCCCGCCTGCACACCTCCGTGGCCAAGGGCGATTACATTGTGTACGTCGTCGCATCCGTGCCGCCAGCAGCCGACGCGACTACAAGACCCGCCGCTCTCTTTCTCTACACCCCCGTCACAGCATACATTGCGCACTCTGTCTCATGGACCTGTAACATTCTACTTCTCTCTGTTGGAAAAACAGACAGCTCTGATGAATAGAGAGTTGTAGATGTGTTGGTCGTGGCGATGGCGGTGGCGGCAGGGGCGGCGACGGGGTTGGTTCTGCTTCGACACTTCCACCGCAAGAAAAAGGACGACCGCCGTCACGTGCCTTCGTCCTCGAGGTTTCCCGTTCCAATAGCGTCGGGCGAAACGGCCGGTCTGCTGCCGAAACCAAGTGCCACCTTTGCCGAGGATGACGAGAGCTACGACGACGATTTGGATGGATACCACGACATTGACCACGTCACAGTTTAACTTGGATGGATACCACGTCACAGTCCAACGTCCCATCGGACTATATTTGACTTTGCTTAGCAAGTTGCCATTGTAATGAAAAGTTTATTGTGCACTTGTGTTTCGACACTCAATCGACTTCCGACCTAGTATTAATACATACTACGAGGGGGTGAAGTACTTAGTGTACATAGAATCACCCCGAGAGTCAGCGTTGTACAGCGCCACCACGACGACATTTGCATGCACATAAGTCATGCTGGAGTCATAAACACTGTAAATACATGAAGTATGTCAGAGGTCATGAGTATCGTTATCTAAACTTAGCCTGCGTTTCGTGTGTCGGGTGCCTGGTATATGAAGTTGGCAATCACCAGTACATACTACTTACTCCTGTAGCTAGCTGGTTGTGTAGCATCCGGTGTACATATCCATATATATGTCTATGGATAAACCATCGTCGGCTGTGCTGCTACGGGGAGGCACGCAGCGGCCGACGCCCGAAGCCCCCCGTCGCAGCAGCCTCCAATCCAACGTCGAGCAGTTCAAGCTGCTCCAGGCGATGGGGGCCCGCCCCGTAGTGCAGAAGCACGTGTCGCTCACGACGCGTGCGTCCGCCCTGTCCCACGACTCCCTCGCGCACGCGCGGCGGCTGCTGGTGCCGCTGCCGACACCATCGGGCACCCCCTTTGCGCACCCACCCCTCGTCCGCCCCGCATCCACCTCCGCCGCCGCGAGCTTGCTCCACCATCACACAAACAACTTCCCGTCGACGTCGTTGCTTCTCGATCGCAACTCGACCATCTGCAACGCCGTGATTGTCCTATGGAACAACAAGCGGAAGCTCCAAGCCCTGCGACAGTGGAGGGACGTGACGACCGCCGAAAACGTCCGCCTCCGCGACGACTTTGTCCAGCGCGTGCGCACAGCCACCAAGGACCTGCTTCTGGCCAAAGAAAAAGCAATGCATGACGAATTTGCGATGGTGTTTACGCCGGCTCAAGTGGACACGCTGGTGACGTGGGCGCTGCAGATTCAAACCAAGTCGTTCGTGGGGGTGAAGCCAAGTGTGGTGGAGGACCTCGTGCAGCACATGGCGCTGCGGACGTACGCGGACAAGACGTGCTTGTTCATGGAAGGGGACGTGGGGCAGTTCTACTACATCCTCTTCACGGGCGCCGTTGGCATCTACGTCGGGATATCGCCAGAGTCCAAAGCGATTGCGCAAACCAACCACGGCCACGCCATGCGATGCATCCGCAGCGACCCCTCCTTTCTCGGTACTACGATCGATCAACCGATCCATGAGTGTCGTATATATATATTATATATATATTACGTTCTGACCACTTTCATAACGTTCAATACGAAAGCCTCGGTTGATTGTTGTTGTTGGTGGTGGTGGTGCAGGGCAATTTTTGTACTTTATCCCAGAAGGCGACGGGTTTGGCGAGGTATCATATGTGTTCGAATATATATATATATTTAAATATATACTTCAAAGTATTGAATTGATCTCCTCTAACATTGGTATGATCCAGGTGGCTATGTTTTCATCGGACGCGCGACGAACTGCCTCTGCCGTTGCGTGTGGGCCTTGTGAATTGATTGAAATCCCCAAACAAGTAAGTACTCTCCGTTGGTACAATCAACATATATCGAAAATATATAAGGTGGTCGTTTCCATGTAGGTGTACCAGCGAACGCTGCGGGCATACCATTACGCAACTTATTCGAAAGCGCAAAAAATTGCATTTTTGCCCTGCGTCGACATCTTTGCTGAGTGGCTGCAAGCTAAAATCGCCGCGTTTTCCGACCTGCTGGAGCGCCACGAGTTGAGTTTTGGCTACCGCGTGCTGAGTGTGGACCGGCCGATCGAATCTGTCTACTTTGTCGTGTCGGGGGACATTCAAGTGACCCAGCGGTGGCTCGAGCCTGTACCCGACCAGCCCGTGTACCCCCAGTTCAAGCCCTCGGCGACGAAGTCCATTGACATCCAAGTCGAGCGCGTGATCCGGAGGGGGGTGCTGGGGCTTCCGCTGCTCCTGTCGGACGGCGTCAAAGCCAAAGTGGACGCCACCGTCGTCACCGCGTCCGCCGAAGTGTACGTTCTCAAGGCCGCCCACTTGACTGCGTTCCGGTCCCTTCTGCCCACCAGTGGTACGGTTTACATCGGAGAAACGTGAGGTGACTGGAGTGTGTGGTAGGAGCTGCCCAGATTGCCAAAAAGTGGCAATTGCAACAAGAACAGCGCCATGCTGCGTTTAAACGAGCCGTGGCCGCCCTCAACTTGACGGAGCCTTCTGGTACTGTAGTAACCCCATGCTTCAGCGACATGTGAGCGTTTAGAACTAGATAGTTTCGCTATGCCGACGGTAAACCATCCCTCGGGCTTGGGCGTACAAGCCCTGCCCGTTCTGCCCATCATGGTGTCAACTTGCGCCAAGAAGTTCCTCGTTGAAGACTGGGACCTTCTCGTCGATCGAAGCGACAAACCCGTTCCAACAGTGTTCATACCGTCCGCCCCCCTTCAGCCCAAGCCCGTCAACGCCAGTGAAAGCCGTAAAATTGCCTGTCAAATTTTTACGGATATGGCGTCCAATACCAAAGTGTTTCAGTGGAACCCACAAGGGGGCTTCCAAGGCAGCAGCCGCGCCATCGACACGGACGGTAGGCCCGACTTTGACATGTCCATCGTCATATGGGTACTTGCAACTGACACTGGTCGTCTCTGTCATGTATACAGTGTACATGACCAAGGATACTGTGCGTCGAACAAAAGCAGAAGTCGTGCGTAGTCCAACATATCCATCCCGACATGTCCCACCCACCACGACCGAGTCAACGGCCACCATTGACCAACTCTTCCAGCACAATATTTATCGATCCCGACAACTCGCTCGCGCAGTCGTCAGGGAACACCATTCGTTGGCCAAAAGTCGTGCGGTCGTCGTGCCACGTCAGACGTCGTACAAACACGCGTTTTAAGCCAACATGGACATTTGAAATATGTGCATGTAACAATCAGACATTTGAAACGTGTGCATTCAACAATCAGACATTTGAAACGTGTGGTAGACATTTGACAAGGGTGAACCAACGAAAACCGACCAGATCTATAAATACATTGAAAGCCACCAGTTTTACCCAACCCACGACGACGCACATATGCCGCTGCAGAGCCCGCCGAAATCACGGTACCAACGGTGAACCTTTATCAAGACAGACTCATGGTGAGAACTGCTAGCGACCACGGGTGGGAAACCAGGACAGGGCTGCAGAGAGCAGGAACGGCGTCGCATATCCTGCGACCGGCGCACTTTGCAGAGCTGAGCATCGACATGGCGTCGTCGGATCCCCCCAGTCTGAGCCGGAACTCGTCCAAATGCGCGTCTCCGCCCAAATCTCTTCGTAAGAAGAACCATAGCATAATACACTTTTCATCAAGTTTGCATTTTTGTAGCCTTCCAAACGGTTAAACTGTCACCGAAAACAAGCAAAATATTTCCCAGTGGCTTTTCCATCCCCGCGGCGATGGTGCTGGCGGCCTCCCCTCTTCCAAACCAGTTTGCAGCCCCCTCCCCCCCTGCCGAAGTACCCGCCCCATGCATTTCTCCCCTACTCACAACCCCAACAGCGTCGTCCCAGGGAAAACGGGGTTCCGTCGTTATCCCCAAGTCCATGGACTGCCCCCTGCCTATATCCATGCACCGATCCAAGTAGGTGACACGATGAGAAAGCAAGTTGCTAGGCAACCAACGCCCAGCTTATCCTCCATCGCACACTACTGCCCAACGCCCAATTATTCGATTCAGTCCCATGTCAATTGGTTGCATATTAAGAAGACAATCTCCTACAGTACCCACCCAAAATACCCTTGTAAATCTTCGATCCAACCACATACTGGTGCTACGCCAGCCACACTGTACTATGAAGGCCACGGTCGGGGTCGGGCAGGTTCGTTTCCCACCGCCGCTTAACCCCCCGAAGTCCGATCTTGGTCGTCCAGATGCTCGCCTTCGACGTAATCGGCATCGTCCACATCGTCTTCTTCGTCGTCGTCGTCGTCCAGCACTTCCACCACGTCATCATCATCATCGTCACCGTCCAGCGAGACCACTTCCGGTCCGTCGTCCGTTCCATCCTTCCCCATCGCCGCCTCATGGTCATCATTCCCTTCGACATCGCTGGTTTGGCTAGTAGGAGCAGCAGTAGCTTCGTCCTCCACGGCACTTTGGCCTTCCACGGTAGAGTGGGTCGGGGATGCTGTTGCTCGTCGAGTCTCGACGGCGTCGGTCGTCGTTGCTGGGGTACTACTACTACTACTAGTACTAGGCGCGGCATCCGGAGTGGGCTGACACTTGCGCACCATCTCAGCCATCGTCGCCATCAACGCCTGCCATTCGTTCGACGCTGGCGCTCCAATGCGATTTTGAAACGACTGCTGGATAACCGACAACGTTTCGAGCGCTTTGGTTTTATGCGTCTACACACAACACCGTCACACGTTATATATCAGAAAACACACTTTTTCACGCCAAAACCTGCGATACTGAATCACCTCATCATAATATATTTTCGTGGCCATTTGGATATAGATAGATATATACCTGGACCACCGCCAAGTTGGCGGCCACTTCCTTCAATTGGCGGTCGACCAACTTGAGCGACGGCGGGCGGGGCAACTCCAGCTCCAACTTGGCCAATTTCAACGGGCGTTCCGCCGGGTCCACGGGGGTTTTGGCCGCATGGCTAGTAATACTACTACTACTACTAGTAGTAGTAGTAGGCTGGCCCGTGGTCTTTTGCGCTACCAAGAGCGCGTGCATCGCGTCAAAGTGATGTTGGATCGCCTCCCACTCGTTCAACGACGCCGCCACGCCCTTGAGTTTGTCAGCCACAATCGTAATCAGCAGATGGTCGCTGCTCAGGGTCAAGTCTTTCGTGGCCATGCGATACGCAGGAATGAACCGGTTCTTGAGGCTCGTCGCGCGAAGGGTCTAACCATATCAATAGCAGTAGTACTAGTAGTACTAGTAGTACTAGTAGTGGTAGAAACAACAACAATGTTGCACGAGGTGTGGTGGCAAAAATGATCCAGCAACAATCCCCCCACTCTGCTCACCAAGGCCACCGTACTGTATCGCAGAAACCAAACACATCCAGACAGACTGGTTCTAGCCACTGCTTGATTTCGGCCATGAATCGTACCTTGCGATGGCGTACTGCGTTGTCCACCAACGCATTGATGTGCGTGATGTGCGTGTGCTGGTGGCGTACGTCCGTCGCGGCCTCGCGCACCCGCGTCTCCCACTCCAAGCGGACTTTGTCCTCCTTTTCAAATGCTTCGTCTACCTTGGCCTGTGCCTTGACGCTGGCTCTAATACATATGTGTACATCATTCAATCTCTCCAAATGGCCACGAATTTCTCCGCATGACACCATCACGCACCGAATGCGCTTCTCCGACAGCGTCGTGAGCGCCGCCGTGGTCCGCTTGGCGTGGTAGCGCGCCGACATGATACCGTGTCGCAGATTCAGCACCTTCAAAATGCCCTCGGCGCCGGGCGACAGGATCTGGGACACATCGTCCGGCTCGTTGTCGCGGGAACACGCGGCCGCGATGGTCTCGAGCTGGTCGTCCAGCGTCCGCAGCCCCGCCGCCACGTCTAAGTGGCTCAAATGCACAAGCAACTCACCCGTGCTGTTGGCCAGCACGTTCTACACCACATCTCAGGCCACACATCTCCAAACAGTCAACAAAAACATGCGATAAAGGGTGTACCAGGCGGGTGGCGGGGGTTTCCAACTGGTTAATCAACGTATCCACTTGAGCGAGGAGCGACGGGCTCGAAGATGGAGCTGCCGCCGCTTCGGGGGTCGCGGGGGCCGGGCCGTCGGCGGTGGAAGCGACGGCATCGGGAGCAGTCGGTTGGGTGCCCTCCACAGCAGTAGACGGAAGCTGCACATCGTAGTACTTGGCCACGTGGCGCAAATCGCGTAAAAACTTCAACACGATGGCGCACTATGTTATGGACATGTGACGTGGGGATTGTGCGATGACGTTATCGTACGTGTTGTTCAATGCACCCTTCGCAATACCAAGGCGTGGTTGACGGTGTCTACAACCCACCAAAACCATCATAGAGGGTATCAAGTGGGGGATGACAGGTACCAAGGACGTGGACGAGATGCACGCATTGTGGTAACTGCGCCGGCACGCCTCGCACGTGACATGGAGCGGCCCTCGATCGCGCTTGCATGTGTGGCATATCTGGCCAAGGAAAACACACATGTCAAGAGGAGAAGACAACGGGGGGAGTACCTCGCGGTGGCCCGTGGACGACGGAAGGAGCTGCTTGGGGCGGATCGCGGCCTGGGACTTCATCAACGTCGAAGACGAAAAGTGCGAAGGGGTAGACGAAGACGACGTGGGAGGCGGCGGCGTGATTTTCTCGATCCATTGTTCTCGAATGTCCTTGAGGCACTTGTTCGTGTCCGCCACGAACAGCGACATCCACCCTGGGTCGCTCTTGATCGCCGGATTCAACGTCCGCTTCATTGCTAGCGTCAGCGCCGACGCGTTCACGTACACCTTGCCATCGAACCGCATCGTCCCGTTCTCCAATATGTCGGCAAACACCTTTTGCCGGTAGTAGCTCACGTACAGTTTGCCCAACCCTGTGTAGGTATGTACGTCGGTGGAGTGGCATGGATATGCGCGTGCGTGTACCTGGCGACAGGAGCTTGTGGTTGATGCACCCTCGGATCACCGCTGTCTGGTCGGAGCTCTGCAGCGAACAAACACCCCATATCAGGGTATTAGCCATTTGCCCGAACGTACCATGTTGCTTCCGCCCGTTGGTCCCAAATTCAAATGCGATTTGAACGGAATATTTCTCCAATTTATTTCGTTTCCAACTGTATATATATCTCTAAATAAATGTATCACAAAATAGAAAATGACACTTATATTGTCTTTTTCGATGAAATTTGGGATTCGAGTCAGAATATATGCTTATTGACTGTGAAGATGAACGTTTTTCTGGGCCAAACTATTCTAATCGATGATTGGATGAAATTTCTAATTAGTGCGCTTTGATTGGCTAGGATATTCTCCAATACATTTGGCAAGTTCCTTTCAATTCTACTCTCACAACTTGGAACAAATTTGACAATACGATTGTCAAATCCGAGTCGAAACTGAGAATCGATTAGAGAACCGCCTGAGCCAATCAAATCACATGATGTCAAATTTCTGCCAATCCAAACTCCGCATTGGGCAAAATCACATATATACTAGTCGTTGTAATGTATAGTATGTGCAAGATTACATAGATTCGTAAGCTATTTGGCGAAATGACTCTCAAGTCCAAATTCATATACATTTTTATTACGTATTGCAAAATGCATGCAATTATATTATTGATCCAATTATTTTGCATATTAATTTAATCAAAAACAAACATCAAGGTTCACCTCAAAAGTCGTGACCATAAAGCTCAAAACATTTAATTTCAATACAAATCTGAAATGTAGTCCATTCTCAATGATACGTTAAAAAAATGGTGGCGTTTTAAATATTCTCTTGGGGTGCTATTGTGCTTTCGAGTGAAATTTCATTGTGTTGTGGCGTGGTTTCTCGTTGGAATTTAAATCGATTTGATTGGCTACTTCAGATGCGCTCAAAATTATTAGCCAATCAAAACCCATTTCTCAATGAAATTCAACCAATCAGATCGATTGTGGATCTGTTTGGTCGGCGCGATTCGATTGCACCCCCTCCCCAAATTTGTATATCAAATCGACAATATCAGCATTAAAATAATCGTTTATGGTATCTAGGTGAGCGGGTACTTTGGCACTTTAACTTTGCGTTCTCGAGCTACTGGGATTGGAAGTCATGGCCCAAACTCGGCCAAAAACAGTGTTAATAATTGATGCACTACCATGTTGTTAGTAGATTCGGCAAATATTCTGTCGGAAAACGCTCATATTTGGGATCATTCTACTGGCCCCATACATCAAAAAATCGGTGAAATACCAATCCTATTCTACATATTAACGACGTGATATTAGCAGTGGAAGCCGCCGAGTCGACATATATGTACAGGAGGCACAGGTGACATTATTAATAGGACGAACGAGCGAGCGAGCGACGGAGCTACGCGGCCATGCTGTGGACAAACGTGTTCATTTTCTTGTCCAGCTGGGCTTCAAGGGATCTGCCCGTGGCTTCTGCTTGATGGCGGTCCTTCTCGAGGAGGCCGCGCCACTGCTCAAGGCACTCGAGGTTGCGGTTCACGAGTTGCTGCATCTTGACGATCACACTCTCGGCGCGCTTGAGTCGTCGGTCCATGTCTGCGCTCTCCATGACCCCGGGTTCCATGGTCAAGAGCGCGCCAGGCCGCGCCAGGTCCTTCATGGACGTCGGGAACTTGGGTAGTTGGATGCCGGTGATCGTCGGCGCAAAGTCGGGGTACTTCCGCTTGGCTTCTGGCTGGATGAGCAGTCCCGCGCCTTCCACGAGCCGACCAGCTTCGATGGCCTGTGGGTACGGCCCTTGGATGAACTCCTTCATGCTGTGCTGGTACGCGTTGCCGACGATGGACGCGAGCGCCGCGCGAAGGAGCGAAAATGCCGCGCGGTACATGGCGTACACCTCGTCCACTTGCTTCTTGACGGACTCGCCAGCTTTGAGCTCGGACTTGGCAACTGCAATGTGCGCTTTCAACCGGTTCACATCCGGAACTACGAACGCATTGAACACGTTGTTTAGGATGTCCCGCTTCTCTTGTTCGAGCAGTTCTTGTCGTTCATGGAGTTCCACGTCGAGGGGATCGGCAAGCACATGTCTCGATGGATCGTGGAGGCTCTTGGAGGACGCGCCGCGCATGGACGTATATGACATGGACGGCGGCGGGAAGTGGTGGACCACCTCGGACATGCTCATGCTGCGGCGCTCGAGCTTGAGCAGCGACTCTTCCGCGGCCTCGGCTTCCTGAAGCTGCTTGCTTAGCTTGCCCTTGAGCTTCTCGACTCGTTTTTCCTTGTTGACGGCAAAAAACCGCCGAATCGCCGAAGTTTCGTACTTTTCAATTTTTTCCAATAAATCCGACTGCACCGCCCGTTTTTCGATGCACATTTTTCGCGCTTTTTCCAATTCTTTTGACAGCGCGACCCATTCCTCTTCGTATGGCGTGGGAATCTCCACCTTGGCGGCGCGGGTGCTCGCGAGTAGCCCTACAACTGTACGATCAGCACTACGATGGCAACGTGACGGAGGATACATACCGCCGCCGCGGGAACTGGAGAAGAGTCCACCACCGCCACGCATGGTGTGTGGCCCACTGCGCTCGCTTGGCGTCGTCGACGTGAGCATGCGAAAGCTCATTCCGCGGGATGAACCCCGGGCACTGGTGACCCGGGTGCTTGTGTTGCCGCCGCGGGAACTAAAGATTCCGCTCATAGTGCGAGACCCAGCACGGGTACTGTCGACACGGTCCCAACTGTGGTTGCGATGACGACTTCGCTGTAGCCGCGACATTTGTTCGAGTTCGTGGTTCAGACGCTCGTAGCGTGCCAAAAGTTGGTGGTCGATCTCATACTCTTCGGGTGGCTGGCTACTCTCGTGGAGATGGCTGTGCTGAGAGTACTCGGACGAGGATGCCACAGCGCTACTTCCACCGCCATGATGCTGTTGGTTGCCATGGAACGCATTAGCAGGCGGCATTTTCGCTACGGAAAATAAGGATGGCGAGTTCAGTCTCTCTCGTGGGGCATTGCTCACAAGGGTGGCTGACCAATCCCAGCCCTAGTAGGAAATTTTTATTGCCAAGTACTTAATAGTATACACATATGAAGGTATTTAAATCCTTTGAATATACATCAGGCGCTAAAAACATGCGGTGGATGGATGTGTTTTCATAATACATGCCACTTCAATCATACAAAGAAGTATGTATTACGCAGCATGAATGCTGCTAAAATGTCCGAATAGGACGTACAGTAACTAATCTCAAACACTTTGATGACTGGGGTGTTCACTGCGAAGCGAAGAATTGGAGACGACAGACTTCATGAACTGGGCTATCGATGGCTTCGATTGACCGACTGGCTTCATGGGACAATCGTAGCGATTTCAGAGTACCGGGAACGTTAAGGGCATCTCAAAGTACACACTATGTTACTTGTACTGTACATGTAATACCGTATGGCGTAATTCGAGTTAGACAGTGATATGTCGTTTATCCGAATACGGATAGCAATAAAAGAGTTGCCATGGTGTAATTAATTCCCTACATTCAAACATTAATACAAATACTACTACGTATTAATAATAAAACAGTATGTCGACAGCTGAGAATAATATATAATAATACTAGTACTACTCTGGTCGAGAATAGATGTTGCATGGTTTTTACTTGATTAAAGTATACTCCGCGGTGAGAAACGTCTTGCGATTTGTATTGGACTTTGAAACGACATTCTGCAAAGTTATGAACGTCTTGCCCAGGATGTCAACTGGCAATTCATAAAACGCCTCATCTACAGCAGCTATCAGATCACCAATTGACCGAGTGACCTTTGAATAGAATTTTAAAAATCTTAAGTCTAGGACATTAAAATCCGGGCTATTTGGTGGCTGGTTGGCGACTTCGATGCTGTCAACGCCATGTTGTGTCACGGGGATTTGACGATAAAAGAATCCACAGGGTAGGCGCGGCGCAGGCGAACGTAAGACCAGGCACAAGTGTGGGAAGAAGGGAAGAAGTGAAAGTCAAGGTTACTTATCTAGCAGAAGCAATGACGTTGTACTTTCCGTCGTTCAAGTATTCTACGGTCATGCAAAATCCTTGGCGACAGGTTGAAGTTGGTCCGCAAGGTACCGAGGTAATGCAGGGTCGGTCCAGGAGTACTCTACTGATCTCCACCCTTAAACGAAACGGAGCAAATTATGCAATTCACACAGTAAATTAACTCTTAGAGGTATTTGCAGGCTGTCTGAACCAACCATTTATACATGCATTCAAGCGCTGGGCGTCTCCAAGTCAGAGCTGAGTATGCCAGTGCGTCTCCAGCAGTTTCTCACAGTGGAAATGATGTCATCCATTTCAATGCCAAACGATTCAAGTGTTCGAATTTTGAAAAAGTCATCACCTTCCGATATGGTTGGATAATATAAAGTTTCAAAAATTATCAAGTTTACCCCGTTTCGTTTAAGGGGGGAGATCAGTAGAATAGTACCCCGGGGAACAGGGTACGACCGTTACCCAGTTAGTGTCGTTGGAATCTTGGTCAAATTCCGCCCCTTGACAGTTGTGCAATCAGCTTGGTCGTCACACACGTGGGGGGACTTGCGTTGTCTTGCTGCAACCTAACAGACAGATGCCTTGGCATCTTGCCTTGGATCGCTGACACGACCTCGTTCATGATCATGTCCTGGTGCGCTTGGACGTCTACGTTCTGGGCCTTCAGCTCGAGGACGCCTTTCGAACGATTCTTGCTTGTGCACAGCGCGACCACTTTTTCATCGAACGGACAAATGCCAATCTTGCCGTCGAACATTTTCTTCTTGTGGGGGTCGTAACGAGGGCGGACAACGACCGCCAAAAACACGACCTTCGTGATGCACTTCGCGGCCCTCTCAGCTAGCACTTCGTCGTCGTAGAGATAGAGTGTTCTCTTGACCTTGGTTACGCAAAACCACTTCTCATCAACGTGCACATCGAAGACGTGGTCTTTCCGTAACTGGGGTTGCAGGAAGCTCATAGCTAGCCGAATTCGCGCCGCCTTGGGGTAGTCCGTGACGAGTGGCTTGACTTGACTTGATCCCGCTTTGAGGCCAGTGGACTTCTTAATGTGACGCAAAATGGTAGACTTGGGGATGCCCGACTTCGCTGCCGTTGAGAGGAGGGTTTTTCGACCTTCGTGGGGTACGGCCTTGATGGCAATCTTGATGTTGTTCGCTGACCGGACTTTCTTTGCACCACAATTGCCTAAAATGGTAACCCCTCATAAGTTAATAACTGCACAATTCGATGCGTTTCGACAAAATAGAGTTTGAGAGAATTTACCCTTGCGTCGCGCGGCGACGTTGGCAAGAGCGGCACCGCCGCCTTTGGACAACCGTCCACGCGACCACAATCGAGATATGGTGCTCCAGTGGGAACCAAAGAACTTCGACGTAGTCACAAATGCACCTCTAAGAAGTTCACCATTAAGGGAATGTTCCAGGAATAGCTGGTAGGCTGCAATTCGCTCGTCGTCGCTGAGGTTGCGACGGGTGGAGGCATCGACCACAGAGGTCGACCGAGAGCGCGATGATCCTTGAGGCATAGTATGGACCAGAGGAGACTAGTAGTTGTGGTTGTGTGGTGATTATTTGAGAAATGAACTCTCAGCGGGTGTGTGATCTCCTGATTTTTGCGTTTGCACCATTTTGGTGATGTGTATCTCAGGAATCCCACCGAATTTTGGCATTCAAAGTACAGCGATCAAAGCTCTTACATTGCGCTTTCCGTCAAGCCATTCAGATCGTGAATTGACAAAATACTAGAGAAATTCTCCCAAAGACAAGACGAGTACAACAATTATTCCGGACCAGAGTAGTATTATGCATTAATTTAAGAAGGGTAAAAAGTAATAATGAATTAAAATCTGTCCAATCAGCATACGTTGATTTACTGGCCTTGGATGTCGCCGCCGTGACGTTGTTTCGTCTTCCGATACCTGTGTTACCCTTGTGTACATGCCTCTGTGTTGCCTGACCATCGTGCTGGTTGTCTGGTCCGTCGTGACGCTGTTGGTCATGGTGCTACTCCTACCCGTCGTGACCAGCCTCCAATTGGTACCCGCAACAGGACGCATAATCCCCTGCCCCATGGTCGACTTGGTTATGTGGTTATTACTCCACCAAAACCCCCAGTTCTTCTGTGTCCGACGAATTGCTCGTGTCGAGATCACTACTAATCTCGATGCTTTGGGTCGTCATGTGTACTGAGATAACCATCACCAACCCTCGAAGCGTTTGTGCCGGACTCCATCACCGCCCCAGCGTGACGCCGACGCCCCACATTCTATTTTGGACGAGGTTACTCCGGGATACAGTATGAACTACTGAACGGCATCGGGCTGAATCACTGACAATCCATGTGGGTGGCTGCAAACAAACAGTTCGCCCTCAACGTCATATTGACAGGCGTTGCTTCTAGCCCTGGGAACCGTGATACCCCTTCCTCGGCGGTCTACCGCACTGGATCGTGGTCAAGCGCCACAAGCTCGTGCATCCCGTACCAGGATTATTTTGCGTGCTATGTGCCTTGCGCGCTATCGCTTACTGTCGGCAACGGGTCAAAGCTCCCCGTAGTTGGATATGCCTTCATTTCTATGGAAACGCTAATGTCTGTCACCGACGTCACGCTTCCCATGGTTCGCGGGCCCACCGCCTCAAGTTTGGTTTCCATTGCCCTCAATTGAGATTCAATCTACTCTCCGTGGCACATGCCAGCGACGATGGATATCCCATTGTTCTCCCCACCCATGGTATGTGCACCATCACAACGCCTATCCGCGAAGTTCGTGCGTCCAACAACGCAATGGGGTTGTTTTCCTTCCATGCCATTCCATGTGGGCGTTTGAAGGTGGACCAGGCTGTCCCTGCAATCGACCCCCTCGAAAACGTATCACAAGTGTTTAAAAGACGTTTAAAACAGTATTTATCTTTTTCAGATTTCTCTATGGAAATCAATTTGTCAAATTTGAAATGTTTCCGTGTTTCCATGTCTGACCAAAATCAAACTACTGAGTTACTTGTGATTTTGTTTTTTTGTGTTTAACCAGTTCGACCAAATACAAACTACTGAGTTACTTGTGTTTCCGTTTTTGTGTTTCTCGAAACACTTAACACTAGCAACACAAAAAAACAGCGGGTATAGGAGTTTGTATTTATGTTTCTCTTTTCTTTTTTCAACTCTATCCAGTAACTTCTTTAAGTCGCTTTGCTCCATTATTAAGTAACTCTTTCTCTTCGAGAGTTATTTTGGGAGTGTGTGTTCTAGTAGCTCCAGAGTCCACTATCCAATGATGGGTAAGAGTAGCAAACTTGCCAGGTGGGTGTACGACGGAGGGGGGGTCAGGATCACCGATGTTTGGCGTACATTGCGTGAGGGCGACCTTGAGGGCAAATTGCTTGCTGATATACCACAGTGGAATCCACACAACGTGGTGGTAAAGCAAATGAAATGCGGACAAGGGTAGTAGGTGGGGCGTCACTGAGTGAAGAATGAATGTCAAGTGATTGCAGTTGGCAACCTCCGCACATGTTCAAGGGCAGGTTGGCTTGGCAAATCCCAGTGGTTTTGAGGGGGGTACAATCGAATACACATACCAGGAGTAACATCGTCATCAGCGACAGGGGCTAGCAAAGTCACGGTTTGTCCACCATCCGGCGTAGCGGTAGCACGCGCAGACGGATCATCACCATAGGGTGGAGCAATAAGTGGTGGAGAACGCCGCAGTTGCTTCGAGGGCAGTCATCGACACTGAGGTCTCGTGAACCAAAAGAAAGGTCGGAAGGAGTGGTAAAATTGACTTCGACGTTCGGTGCTACTATTGCTCGAGTACGAACCGGAGATCGACTGCTACTTGTAGGGTTGTCATCACGTTGCCCGGAGGGCGCAGAATCAGCACTAATGATGCGACCACGTTTGTCGAGGGACGTATGGTCACGATGACGGTTGCGATCACGATTGTCGGATGCGGGGGTAATTAAATCCTTAGAGGTTCTGCCATGGGCATCGAATGTGCTAGAATTTTCATGCAGGATCGAAGTAATTTGACGGCTGCGGTCACCATAGCCGCTGTCACGCCAATTACTAGTGCGATCTTTGCCATCACGACCACGGCTTCGACTTCGAGGAGCACCGTGCTTGGAGAGAGGATTTCGTCTGCGTGGAACACCAGCATACCCGACACCGCGCCCATAGCCGTCGCCCCGGTCCTGGTAGTCACACCGTGAATGGTCATCGCGACGGGGGTGATCATCACGACTCTTCCGCGAGGACAAACGCCGCGAGTTTTTCTTGTGGTGCTTGTCAAAAACGTGTTGGGGGAATCCATCGCGCTTGGTGCCGTGGGCAGAATCCGAAGCGAGGGGCTTGCAGTTGGCTAGTACATGAGCAGTGTTGCCACAATACAAGCACACAGGGCCAGGGTGATTATGGCACTTGTGGTGGGCATACGATGATAACGAGCGTGACGTGACTAGCCCAACCGGACTAGAGGCAGCGTCGACGGCAGTAGCGTTGTTATGGTGCGAGCGAGTGTGCGCTGATTCGGCAGTTCCATGTTGCCAAGCGCAAGGGAACGAAAGTATCACGTCGCGAGGCCGTCCTTAATGGTCGTGTCGATGCATGCAACGGAGATGGCTGACCCGATGCCTTGGCGTTGCTCGAAATAGCACGAAAAAGGTCCCAGATTTTCTTTTTGTCTAAAAACACTTCGATAGTTACACCATGTAATAAATGCATCGTAATCAAACACTGCGATGTCGACCGATGAATGGATCATGGCAGCCCGATAGACTTGACTTCGGCCAAGAGAGTGTCCAGACAGTCACCATCGTGGTACTTGATCATCTGGGATTGGGCATTAAGCACCGCAGGGTCGCAGGCGAATGGGTTATTCTCGAACCAATACACAATTGACTCAAAAAGATTAAAAGGACAGGGAATGTTGGAGAACAGCTTTCATAGGGAGTTCACCACTGACGAGTTGAGAAACGTCAGCGCCGTTAGCGCCAAAGCACGTAAACGAGACAGCGCCTTGGCAGTTTCCTTCTTCAGAGTAGTACTATGTACCGATTGGATAAGAGTAGCGATCGCCTTGTGTCGAGCACTTAGGTCATCACCAGTCAAATCCGCGTCGACCGAGTAGCTTGTCGATTTGGAGTCGTCATCCAGGATACTCAAGATAAGGTCCGAAGGCACATATGCCTTGTTGAGGTAGAATTGAGTAAATTCATGGCCATCGGCTTGGCTAACGAACAACGGCTTCCATTCAAGAAACGTTATGTTCTGGTCGTCCAGAGGAGGCACATTGTAGAGCGGTGCAGAGGTTGAGTGAGGACTCATAACCTGTCAAGAAGGCAAAGTAGGCCCAAGCACTTAGAAGAGGAAGAGGAGGGTAGCGACAGGGTACATCGGATGTCCAGGAGGACAAGAGCGCAGGAGAACAGGGGAACGCGAAGAGTGAGTTAGGATGAATAGTGTGGAGTATTTCCCCTACCCTCTTGGCTACCTACGAGGAGATGGCCGCTGATTGGTCAGACACCGAAGCGCACATATGAGGTCATATATCCTCTTAAGTGTGGGTGACAGCACCCTGCAAAATGCGCTCACTTGACAATTTTGAGAAGGTTATTCAACCACACTGCATCATATTTCACGCATTGCACTAAGAAAGTTATTCGAACTCATGATACACCGTGATATATTATATTAAGAAGGTTACTATTAATAGTACTGTTTTGGATATTACGCCTTCAACCAAAATCCTCATGCCAGCTACGCTGTCGACGGCTACCACAACTTCCGCTACCTGTCTGAGTCCGCCTGGCGTCCGACCAGCGCGAGGAAACCTGACGGCGGTCCAGGGTCGTGTCGTCTACGATACGCTGTTAGAGAGGTCGTCACATGGAAAGCTTCCGTACGGAGCTTTTCAGGACCTTGCTTGGTATGAGTGTCATTGGTGCACCATATCTCGTGTGTGGGTACGAGAACGATTGTCCCTCGCCGACGGCAATGAGGTTGCACATGTTGCATCCCAACTCAAGGGTAAATTCTGCAAAATTTAATACTTCCTGTCGAATTTATGGACTTATAGAAGTATGTGTTTATACGGGTTTACTTCTTTAGGCAATGTTTGGCGTAAAAAGGTACGCTCATCCGAAGACATCAAGAAAAGCATAAAATCGGTTCCGCATTTTGCTCGGCAAACCCTCCGTTCTTTGGTGTACCAATCAAACATACCAAAGCGAAACCAAACGACTCGAGGCACGTTCGAGCTACGTCAAGCCGCTGCTCACCCAAGACAACACAAAGGCGCGCCGATGTTTTTGGCAGATGTTGCACGTCTCCGTCGTGACCCCACGACGAATGCGTATTTCGACGGGAAAGTTGGCGTGTACTAGTAGCCGTTTGCAGAAGTTGGCCCGGCAAAGCGCACAAGCAAGAACCGCGTCAGGGGACCTCCTGTGACAGTTCCAGTATCTGTAAACGGCGATGTTTAGAGAAACGCCATCGTGGACAAGGTTGTACCAGCCATGAAGGCCAGGTTTCCAGCGAGACCAGTCTCGTGGCGTGGTCATTCAACAGGACAATGCGAGCCCTCACCGTTGCGTTACGACTGCTTTGATGCAAAGTCCCGGAGTTCAAGGGATTATGGTAGAAAATCACCCAGAGAATGGTCCAGACCTTAATGTGCTAGACTTAGGTTTCTTTAACAGTATTCAAAGTCTACAGTATCAATAGGAGCTGATTGATGCTGTGGAAGCTGCGTTTTATGAATTGCCGATGGATACCCTGTGCAAAACATTCATAACATTGCCATGCACAAGTCTATTGAAATGAAGGGTAGCAATGGCTACAAGCTTCCCCACACAAAAAAGGATGCTACCATTTCGGACTTGGTAACATTCAATGTACAATGCAGTGCGACCACTTTTGAAGATGCACTTTTCTAGATGAATTGTTGTTTGGGAGAGGAATCTCAATTGGAGGCGCTGGTGAATTCTCCAGAACAAGTACAGTTGTAGGTTTAAAAAAATACAATATAAATATTGCTGAGGAATATGCAGTTTTGGAATCCCAAACAAACTTCGAGATATTTTCTACTGTCGTCCACACTTTAATCAAGTCAAAACAACGTGACAATCTTTATGGACCAGAGTAGTACTACAGTATGTGAATGTTTGGCATGGCATAGATTTCGACAGGTAAATCCTATGAACCTCAATGGGACACATCTACTGTACAGAATTGAGCGGGTACGACGCATTTCTAAATGATTATTCCTTATTTGTCATATACCTTCCATACCATATCGACTCGGACGTGAAAACCATTCGGACAGAGCTTCGGACACAGAAATATTTGAGGAATTAATACAATTGCTGCATACAAATGCCAAGCTTACTTCACGTAATTAAAATAACGATGATAGGATAGGTACAGCGTAACTAGAGACTGCGCATCAACGACAACCGCAAGTCCTTACTAGTACTAACGCAGTAACCAAGTGGTCATGCTCAAATAGGTAAAGCGTTAATGATTACTACGTAGTACACGCACTACTTCATCCTTCACGCTCGCAAGGGCTGCCGGTAAACTACACTGTACTGCAGGTTTGGAGCCTGAAGTCCTGCAACATCAAATAACATATGACAATTATAAAAAGAGATATTATATTCCAAAACATTACTTGTATATAAAGTATATTGAGACAAGAAAATTTAATTCTATTTTGACTGAAGTACTCCGAATGTCGCATGTCAACTTCTGCTACGAAATTCGATTATATTCTTCACGTGCTATCGTTGGGCGATTTAGATTTGGCTCTAATGGCCTATGGGCCGAGAACTGGATAATCGAAGTTAGTGTGTGCGGTCGAATAAAATCGAAGTGCGTCGAACAATGCAAATTGAAGAATGAGAATTGAATCCATCGCAACACGGGTTAGGTTTAACACAGCAGCCAACCGACTACTCGTACGGTATATTTATGCGGATGAAAGTGTCGTTCTGCAGTCATTTCCCAATTTCACTCGTAGCCGCCACTTCCTCGGTGTTCATCAACACCATCCAATACAAGGAAATGAATCGCATCTAACATGTTTAGGAACTGTGGCGACGACGACAACAACGACGATGACAACTGCGACGACAGCGACTTGCGGTATGTTACTCATCATTCGGCAATATCGAAAAGTACCTCATTATCATCTCACGTATCAGCTGTGGTCATCCAAAGTACTGGTGTATTTCAACACCATCCTAAGTAATGAAATCTATCACTACTACTAACTTGTTTAGAACGGACACTCCACCCGCGTGATCCAGACAATGATAGAGGTCGGCGACAAAACAACTTCGCCCGTGACAACCCTAAACATCTAACACCGACGCCAGCCCTCTAAACATCAACCAGTATCAACGCTAACAACCATCGTTATATAAAAATACGGTGTTTGGCAACACCATACAATGTGAAGAAATGCATGGTAGCTATAATAATGAATTGGAATAACGCTGCATTTCCAACAGTGGTTGTGATATCGCACACACAGCAGCATAAACCACCAGTGCAACCTCGATGGGCGTCTATGCCCATAACTAGGAGAACAGCTATAAAGGCGGTGACCGAACCTTACAGTTAACATAACATACATGTTTCAATTAATGGAACTTCGTGCATTCTATTCTCTGCTGGATCGTTTTTTACCTTGCTTCTACATATAGTGAAACTTACATATCAACAACACCTGCTATCTACTTCAAGGTGAGAATATCTATTAATAGAAGGATCGGATTTGAGAAATTAACTAGATATCGCACATACCTCAATTTGAGCTGTGGTGCGTGGCAATTATGGCAGTGGTGGTGGTGACGGCAGTGGTACATCCATGTTGAGATAGTGGTGCTGGCAGTGGCAGCATGGGCATGGCGATGGCTGCGGCGCAAGTGGCAGCATGGTCGTCGAAGTGGCCGCGGCAGCATCGTTGGCAGCATGGACGCAAAAGACAGCTTGATCGCGGCCGCAACGGTGCCGACCGCGGGAGCAGTATTATTTTAGGCATGATGATGCTACGGTACGACAATTTTACATTCTCATATGATTTATTGAAATATACTGACATGTCTACCTTGATTAGAGCCGACCATCCATCTTGATCAAGGCACCGCGAACGATAACCGTGGGGAGGCTCCGGCTAGAGTCGCTGGAGGGCTAAAATTCAAAATATAATTTAACTTTTTTTTGTCATTTCTTTTGTTGTGTTGCGCGTACTGATTATCCACCCTTACTGCGAGTTCAAAAGCAACTTCTACTCGCCAAGGGGGCTCTAGTATAATGATCAGATATGTAAGTCCCCCCCACCTAAGGTGGCGAAAATCCTGCGGTGGTTCCAAATGGTACTTGAACATTCAAACCAGTAACTCATCAGGTACTGACCTTCTTGTCTTCACAACCGGTAACTACTTAATAACTAGGCTGCACTTTGTGGACCCATGCGCTCAGTGCACACATATTTCAAAATGTAAGTATTGTCAATTTAAAACTTATCAAATTGAAGCGTTCAATTGCAATTGTCGTAGCTGGTTAATCGACGACAAAGGCGATGGGTCTTCGACTAGCCCGGCACGAAACAGCGCGTCAAAGCGTTGAATGTGGGCATCCAAGTGCCCAGCACAGTGCAGCTCGCGCAGTTTCTTCAAGCACGCGCCGCCTGCCTTAGCTTTGATTCCTTTTTCTTTCAAATATAATCCCAACTTCATCTCTGCTGACTTCCCGAGCTTGAGTACTTCGTCGCGGTATCCATCCTTGTGCTCATCTAGGCTGTATCCACCTTCGATGAAAAGCCGCATGAAGTCAACAAGCAGCTTCATGTCCGAGCGGCGTTGACGGTTGCCGTCGTTGCCTTGGTTCCATGGACGTGGGACCAGCGTGAACCACTCAAACCACAACGTGGACGGCATAATGGCTTCGCCTCGACTCTTCTTCGCCGGTACCACATCCGACTCGGGTACACTGGCATCCCGCTTTGCACCCTTCGCGAGCGGCATTGTTCCAACTGACTGTCCTGCAGTGCTCGCGGAAGCAGCCAACGTCGCCTCGACATCTTGGATTCGGTCCATCAGGCGCTTGTTTTGTTCGGTGAGGACTTGTATCATGTCAGTCTGCTGCTCAGCAAAACTACTCATGGTAGACATCGATACCGCTTCACTTGCTTGAACCTTGCGATTGCGCAGCAGTGTTCCCCACGCGACGAAGGCTTCGATGTTGACTCCAACTTGCTTGGCCACCGTTTCGATTCTTGTGACAAGTGGCGCCGACGCACACAACGCCTTTAGCATAGGTTAGGACCGTGTAAGGTACACCATAAGCCGAGTGACGACTTCATTGTTGATGTTGTACTTGTTGTCTTGCATTTCAATGCAAGACGCGAAAAGTACCGCTTGCATCCGTGCAAGCTCTTTCTTCGTTGCAGCATCGAAAATCTCGAGCGACGGAGCCACGACGGTCGCCCCAGCCGGCCAACCACTCAAAACGCAGGAAACCTTCTTGTCTTCGTTGGAGGTATTGAAAACGTAAGCAAACGCCTTGTTTGTTGCTGTCATGTTCCAGCTGCCGCGGTCAATAATCCATTGCGGCGACAACTTCGACGATCCGTTGGCACACTGGGCTCCTCCTCGGCGGAAGGAATGGGATGTCAAATCAGCTAAGACTCCAGCTGGTTGGCAGCTGCGGTTCAGCAGGCGGTTGATGTGACTATGGACTCCGGGATGAGCTGCAACTGACACTTTCATTGTAGCCGCTGCATCCATGGGCTGCACCCCGACGACCGCTCCGAGTGGTTGGTTGAGCAAGTCAATTAAGGGGATCGACGACATCGCTTCTGCTTATACTGGCGCCTCAACGGATGGTAAGTTACCAAGGAGGGCGGCATGTGGCGTCGATTGCATCACCACAGCAGCAGCCATTGCGGTAAGGGGACAGCCAAGGCATTTCTCATCGTAATACAACGACAAACCTTGTTCATCTGATCGCACAATTAGTACGCCGGCAGCGCTGACCGTGAGGTTTGCCTTCTGGAGTGACGACAGGTCCGACGCACGGCCAAAAAGGTATCATAACAGGCACAACAGAGCGGCATCCTGGTAGTCGGTAGGATTCTTCGCGGTTGAGTACTGGTAGACCAAGAGAGTACGGAGGTGGTCCATAGTGCACGCTGGGGCCTTCTTGATAAACCCGCCCGAGTTGCGTTTCATGCAGTACCGGTCGAGGGTTGAGCCCATTTTCAACAGCTTGGCGGAGACGGCGGCGCTAAGTTGGTAGAGTTCAATCAGCCACAGCTTGACGTGGCGGTAGTACGACATGACTGTGTTCGGAGCGATCTGTTTCCCAGCCTTGGTGTCGAGGAATGCCAAATACGACCCAAACTTGTCAAGCACACGTTCAATGGCAACGTCAATAGGGTCAAGAGCAAATTGTGCATGAATGTATTCCATTGTTACATTCTCTTCTGTGACAAAGCGCGTAAATGACTTGATCGCTGTAGCCTTCGCCTTGGTCGTGTTACAGGCACAAGATCTTGGATCCCCATGCAGAATGATATGCCAAAGTGGTTGCTACCAATTGTCCGAACACAATATTATATGCAGGAAAATATGTGTTAATGCTAGCGTTTGTATTGCACATATTCATATTTTGTGATCCATTCGGACAAAATCTGTCCGAACTGGTCCGATCTTGTCCTAGCAATTACGTATACAGTACATCGATTGGCTGAAATGTTCTCGAAAAACAACATAATGCAAGTATAATTGGCTGGTAATCATGTCCTCGGGTCGGATTGGTTATAATCGTGATCATATTCACCCATACCCGGTGGAAAGGGCGTAGACTGACATCCTTCTACGGGTTGGGAGCCAACCGGTCACTAGCAGGAACAAGACATCTATAGGCACATGGATTAAGAATAGATTACTACAGGTATTCCGGATATGAGAGGAATACAATACCGGTACCATTGATACACTGCCGTAGGCCCCAAAATTGGTCATTTATGTCTTGAGCAAAAACTGTGCTCTTCACCAATATCGAGGTAACGTTACTTCTATCCGAAATACAGGGAAAGACGGTAATGTTTACCCCGTGGTACACATCGACAATTCGCGAATATTAATATTGCGCGTGCACTTGATGAGTCTATGCAGAATTTACGTAATTTTGGCCAATAGGTGACATTTGTAGCTACGACGACAAGCATGACATGATACGTGAAGTTTAGTATTATTTCATAAAGCTAAACCACGCAATAGCCGTCACGACGGGGTCTATAGTAATAAGTCCATTACAATAATGTATGGATATTTGTATGTCGCATCGGCCTGCCTGAAAAAAGGAAACAGCATTGCTCCAGGCGCTAATATACGAAAAGGGAAATAGCTCACGTGGTGATGCGTCCGCTTGCAGTGCAGGCGGTACAGGGTTCAATACCTCGTGTTGATGTACAATAAACCAGATAGTCTGTGTGCGCTGGAACCTTAGTACGTCCATGGGATGCTGCTCAAACGGTCAAAGTAGTCAAATTAGTTATTATATCAATTCTTTTTGACGTGCATGGCAATATATATACCACTGCTGTATTGAATATACTGTATGAACCGCTCACGATCATGAAAGTCAGCTCATTTTATAGCCTTCTTTGATTGGCCAGTTTGAACCTGCCGCGACAATTTGCCGCGTCTTTCATCGGCCCCATGCGCATGCGGCAGAAGTACACCATCGCTGACCGCCGAAAGCTCTTGGCAGGATTCGACCCAGCTTTGTCCTCATCGAAGGGCTATGCGAAGGCCAATGGCATTGATTGGGGCACTTGGCGCAGCTGGTTGAAGAAGAAGGACGTCATCATGACCAAGCGCATCAATGTCAAGAAGACAACTCTTGG